CAGTGGTTAGAATGCAGGCTGTTTCTGCCAGCTGCCAGCAGTTTGGCAGTTTGATACTCACCGGCTCAAGGTTGACCAGGGGTGGGATTTTACCAGTTCGCACCTATTCGCTAGAACCGGCTGTTAACATTCTAAGCAGTTCGGAGAACTGGTTGTTAGAAGAAATTACTGGCCTAATCCTGTAAGGAAGGCAGGAAGGAAACATTCTGGTGTTGTTTACAGAAACTGCCTCTCCATAACCCTTATTACATTCTTGGCAGGACTAGATTTCCTGTCTCAGGAACTTCTTTTGAGTTTTTTCCCCCTCCTTTGCTGGTACTTTGCTTGTGTGGAGTGACCATTCAAAGTTACAATGGCACTGAAAAAAGTGACTTATGACCATTTTTCACACTTACGACTGTTGTAGCATCCCCACAGTCATGAGAGGCCAGGGGAGGAGATGCGTGCCTCGATGTGAGTGATATTGAGTTGGCCACACCCAGCCAGTAACATGACCACCAAGCCATGTCCACCCAGTCACATGACCACCAAGCCACACCCACCAACCAAGCCACACCCACAGAACCGGTTGTTAAAACATTTGAATCCCACCCCTGAGGTTGACTCAGTCTTCCATCCTTCTCAGGTGGGTAAAATGAGGACATGATTGTTTGGGGGCAATATGCTGACTGTGTAAACTGCTTAGAGAGGGCTGTAAAGCACTGTGAAGCGGTATAGAAGTCTAAGTGCTGCTGCTATTTTGCCCCTATAGAAGGTTTTCTCCAAGAAAATCACCATGCTGCATTAGCCGGGGTACAACTCCTGGAGAAAGCCTCTCTGCTGTGTACAAGGACAGTGGAATCCTACTCTGAGCAGGAACTGAACCCTGCTATATTGGCTCGGTTTGATTCAGGAAAATCCCAGCTCTGAAATAACTGCTTGGTAAGAGACAGTGCTACAAAGCCTATACAATCCTTTGTGGTGAGTCCTCCTTAGCCCCAACTATTTGCCAGAAATGCAGGCTGATTCATTTAAGACTGGCAACTTTTCAACTGGCCAGTGCTTGTAACAGCAGTTTGACAAGCAAGTGATACTGGTTATCTACCTGCTGTGAGCCTTATTGTTTTCTAAACCTCAAGCTGTTGTTAAAAAGCACAAGGCAATGCCAGGCCAGCTTTTTTTTTTAAAAAAAAATTTCCTGGTCAGTTGTCAAACCTAAATATAAAATGCCTGAAATTTGTATTCTAGGAATTCTCTCTTTTCCTCCTCAACAGCACAGATCACTTTAGAAGATGTATTTGTTTATTTCAAAATATTTATAAGCTGCTTTCAGCAACAAGGCCCACAAAACAACAGAGAAAAAAAATTCAGGTGTTGATACAGCCATGGATATGACTCAAAACACGTGTGTGTTATTAGTAAATAATAATGTTCAGTCCAAATAAAAACAATGACCCCCCCCACACACTTCAATTGACAAACAGTACTGCTGTAAAGATATCAAGTTTCCTTCAAAAAACATAAAAAGTAAAGAACATATGAGATACACAGGGGAATCGGGCCCAATCTGGGTTTCTTGGTATGCTGAGGCCTTCAATCACATGGTCCACACTGGAGTCTGTGCAGAGGCCTATGATTTCCAAGAGCTGCGCACAGCGTCCCTGAAGCAAGAGATTAAGACACACATCAGGACTTCCCCCTCCCCACACATTCACACACACACACAAACTTCTCAGCCTCTGGTCTCCATTCATTGTTAAAACATCCTTGTTTCTCTAACGTCTCTGGCTGTTTTTTGGATTCGGTTTTGCTCTCTGGAGATTCACTCAGCCAAAGCTTTCCTTCCAAGACAGTATAGAGTTTGAAATATGTATCTTGGGAGCCAGGTTCTTCCTCTGCTGCAGAAACGGATGTGCAGCTTTCCAGCCCCCCCCCCACCCCCATACTTGGCAGTTCTCCTCAAGCACAAAACCCCCTCAAAAGCCCACCCCCCTCAACCCAGGGCCTCACGCCAAGGCCATGAGAACTTCCTTTTTCTGCTCCAACTTCATATATACGAAGGACGGACGAATAGGTACTAAAGCTCCACAGAAGTTGGGGAAGGGGGGGGGGAGGATTCTGTCGACCCAACATATTTAAAGCTTCTCTGCAACTTCTTTAGCAGTTAGTAGCAGCAGCAGCAGCAACTCTCAGCTATGAGCCTTTGCACACAAGAGTGAGTCTTTTACCCATTTCAATACCACAGACATTACTGCTACCCTACAAAAAGATCTTGACTATGTATCCGAATGGTCAAACAAATGGCAACTTCAAATCTCAACAAATAAATGCTCTGTCTTACATATTGGCAAAAAAAAATCATTTATTATGCTTTTGAGTCAGTTCTTGACCTTGGCAATTGCCTGGACAAGTCCCTGCAATTTGGGGGGGGAGGCAAGATTTCAGAAGTGGTTTGCCATTTCTTTCTTCTTAGGGCTGAGCAAGAGTGACTGGCCGCAGGTTGCTAGCTGGCTTTGTGCCCAACGCAGGACTAGAACTCACAATTTCTCAGTTTTTAGCCTGGTGCCTCAACCACTAAAACAGGCTAGCTCTGGCTTCATTTTAATAATGCCCATTAATTCTGAGCTCTGAGAATATATACATTGCACTGTTATACATACAGTATTTTTGAAGCAGTAAAACTGACTCATAGTGAGCAGTCTCCCCAGTTACAAAGAAACCAAGATGAAGCCCACATCCAGAATGGAAGGACGGGGCATAACGTCTCAAATAAAAGACAAATTAAAGCATTGCAAAATGTCATAAGCCATCCCCCAAAGCAACGAGGTTACGCATAAAAAGGTCAAATAAATCATCATCCAGCTCACTGAATAATCCCCTCAAGGGCCTGTGCATCAGTGCAGCAATACGAAGGTGGAAATTCAGCCATAAATGGAAGCAGAATTTATATTCAAACTGCAGATGCCCCAAACCTCAGCTCTTGGAACCCAGGGCCTGCAGGCCAACAGCTGCACCTGAAGGTTTTCTTCCCTCCAGCCTGACATTCCTTCAATCTCTCTTTTTAGAATCCTCTTACATGCTTGGGCCACACAACCCACTAAATCACAGTGTACTTCGTTAGCTTCACTTAAGTCGAGTGCCTCATGTTTCACACACCATAGTTTGCAAATGAGGGCTAAGCGTATCGTGCATTATTGAAGGAAACATGGTGAAACCAAGGGCAACTTGGTCTATTGCATAAACCAGGTTATAATTGCAGTTCCTTGCAGGGCAACTGTTACATCCGTTTGCGTCTGGGGGGGGGGGAAGTCTCTGCTAGGGAAGATTTTCTGACTTTCTTTTGGTGCACTTCATGATCTCGGCATGGATACAAGCATGGCCTTTCCAGTTTCATAGAGAGAACATGCCATTTTGCAGCCCCAAAAAAATTCCACTGCAAGTATCAGTAGGACTGGACACCGAGTGGACCCTAATTGATCTAGAAAAAATAAGGCAGGTCAGAACTGATCAGGGCTTGGACAGAGCTGCCAGAGGCATCTGGCAAAAGCCAGAAATCCAAAGGATACAGAAAAATACATTCTTTGCCCCCCCCCTCATTGGATGGGAGACCACGAGGAAATATCAGCACGGTAGGCTAGACTGGAAAGTTGAATGCTAGGATTGCTCCATGGACGTGCTCATGACTGCGAGCCCGACCCGAAGATTCAGAGGCTGCAGCGAGGCCTTTCGCGCGGAGATTCAACGGACCTTTACGCAAGAGGAGAGGCCGGGGAAGCAAGCTCGGGGGCAGCAGAAGAAGCTGCTTGGCCCACTTCAGCCAAAGCGGCGCCATCACGGCGCAACAGCGCACTCTTCTGGACACTTTGAGCGGAACAAAAACCCTGGCCCGACCGGTGGCACTTCGAAGAATTACTTCCTCCTTCTCCTTCTTCTCCATCATCATCATCATCATCATCAGTGGATATGACAATTCCTCCTCTCCCCCCTCCAGGAGAAACGATTGTGGGATTTTATGGTTCAGCTTCTGGATATTAATGTACGATTGTTTGTCTCTTCCCTTCCCTTTTTCCCCCCACAGCACTTATATAAGGTGGTGTAGAGGAAGGAAGCCCCCCGAGGAAGTACACTGTTGAGTGAAGATTTGATCCAGGCTTCCTTGTTGACATTGCTCAGCCCGCGAAGACGTTGGCAATCTCTGCCTGCATGCCCAGGTCTCTGCCCGGGAAAGGTCTCATTCTCCTTGTAGGCATGTGCGTGGTATGGGGGTCAGAAAAGGGAAAGAGGACAAGTTTCCTTTCTTCCAACCTGATTTGCTAAGTTGCAGCCTCCTTGAAAAAAAGAAAAATGCACAAATATTATTTGCTTCATGGCTGTCGTGGAACTTTATTTATGTGTTTAATTCCCCCACCCTATACTAGAGAGTTTGCCCCAATGTTTTCCAAAATTAGGAGCTTAGTTTCTAATTTATAAGCCCTCTGTAGGCTTTGCATTATTTGTCATGACTTGGTCAAAACAATGTAGACTGATTGACCAATTAAAAGAAATCAGTTTTCATGGATGACCTTGCCTCTCACAGTAAATATAAACGGCAATATAAGTTGCATGAGTAATATATATTACTCATGCACCCAGTAATCTTGCCCTATTTTTGGAAAGTGCCTTGGAAAAGACTTTTGAAGCTGAATCTTAGGTTGAAATAGCCCATAATATCATCCTGGGGGGGGTGCATTTTATGTGCTTATGGACAAAGGAATGGAGGCCAAAGAGCAGTCAATGCTTAGATGAGCCCTGAAACAGTGAGAATGGCTTGGAACTTCTGGATTTCTCTCAACATTTCTTGGGGAGGTTTTTATTTGCTTGTTTAATTTGCTGCCCATCTTGTAGCAAATGACTTTCATAGCAAAGGGTTACAACTTTCACAGGTGAGATTTGCCGTGCCTAGCCCTGCCCAGCCCAGTGTTGTTAGCAACACAATCTGGCAACGTTGGGAGACACCGATGAGAGACGGCAACTTTGACAAAATGCAGCGACTTGGCCTAGTAGAATGTGGCTGGCCTTTGTTCCTTTTTCTGCTCCTCCTTGGCTGGATGATAGGTAAGGCTTGCTTGTGCTTATTTTGAATCGTGGGGTTCTTTGTGCTCCCTGATTTTGGTTATTTTGTTGCAGGTGTTTCCTTTATCAAACCAGGTAACCTCATCAGTGCTAGCCCTGATGAAGTTACCTAGTTTGGTAATGAAACATCTGCAACGAAACAAAGTTAGAGAGCATTGAGTATCCCACAGTGCAACCCTGAATCACAAAGACTCTCTTTGATCATCCTTTGAACTATGGTTAAGGGACCATTTGGTTGGAGGGGGGGAGGCTTGTCTGAACTGAATTACCTTCCCCAAAGTGCTGTTTGGCTTGTGAGAGGTGCACCCAATCTACATGGGCCCTCAACCTTGTAAGAAAGGATAAAATAGACCATGAAGGTAAATAAGCACTTCAGCAGGATACTTCCCCCAACTCTCTTGAAGCATGTGTTTTATACAGTGGCTTCTGATTGCACAAATACTATGCGTAAATGTAGTGCACATGAGCTGAACAGGTCCTTGAATGAATTTGAGGGAATCCAGGGCCTCCTGGCAAATTCTAGTGGGAATCCATGGGCCTGCTGGCAAAGTGCAGCAGTTGTTTTGTACCAAGACTGTCCCTCCATTTTGGGTGTTGGTATTAATTACACCTGCAGAGATCTGTCAAAACTCACTTGCTAAACAGCAAGTGTCCCAGGCCGGCTAGCTCCAGTGCAGCCTCCCTTCATCTGCAGTGAAGTTCAGTGATTGAAACCAGTTCTGCAGGGCTGATCAGGACCAAATGGCTTTCCCCTTGCCAGTTCTTAAGGGAGGAAAACAAAAACAAAGCAGCTCTTGACCAAGGCACAACTTGTTTGTTTTCTTTCTTTGTTTGTTTTCTTTCTTTGTTTATTTGTTTGTTTTCCAAGGTGTTGCCTGGAGCGTGTAGATGTGTGTGCGGAGGGAGAAGGAAGCTGTTTTTCTTACTCTGCTCTTCCTATGATAGCTCTGCCCCTTAACAGGCAGGTCCTCTATTTCAGGGGTCTCCAACCTTGGCAACTTTAAGACTTGTGGACTTCAATTCCCAGAATTCCTCAGCCAGAAAAGCTCTATTTGGCTCTGCCCTCAAGCCCAGACTAATATGAGAGGGCTCCACTCCTCCCCACCCCGCCAGGCTTAATTCCTTGATCTGGAAGTCTCTACCGCCTCTCCCCGTGTTTTTTTTTTTTTTTCATTTGGAAGAGTTGGCAGTCCTGAGTCTTAACCAAAGCAGCCTCCCTGTTCCTCACAGGGGGTTTCCTGGATTCTTAGTGACAATGGGACAGAGCATCTGATTTTTCCTGCCCTGATTTGCAGAGGAAATTAGAGCAATGTTGGCGCTCTTGATTAGATTCTCGGAGGAGGAGAGAACTAGATGCAAAGATGATCCAAAAGAAGCTGGAGCAACCTTTTCCATCTTTCCATAAGAAGGGGGGAATCAAAACGGAGCATTATCAATCAACACAATTGATTAACAGCAGCTAGTAGTGTTTTCGGGTGGAAACATCATGGCATAAAATAGTAGCAGAACAGCATATGTGAAAGAGGCAAGGCAATTACACCATGAAAATGGGTTGTAAGCAGTCAGGGAACATCTCCCTTTATTTCTCATTTAGCAGTGAATGTTCTGAGTAATATTTGCTAGTTAACTCGACTCACAGCAGGTACGGCATAAGAAACTTTTCTTCTCTCTTTTTATTTCCTTCCCGCCCGTAGATCCAGATATCGGAGCTGAAGGTAAGGAAACCTGCTTACCCATATTTAATGGCCAAACACCAATGGCTTGAAAATAAGGTTGCTAGTGGCGCTACAAGAACAGCCTTTGATGTGTGACAGCTGTGAAAACAAAGCTGACTGCCCTTCGTGCAGACAAACATGGATTGTAGCCAAGCATATGTATGTGAGTACATGTGCCACCAGATGGGCATATAGGCACCGGGGCGCCTCAAGAATGCCTGGAGCTATAGCTTTACAAAATATCCAGTCTTTGATTAAAACAATATGATTGCACCCTAGGAAATTTTAGAATCCAGTGATGGATGAGAGGAAGCCAAGAACATTCTGGAGTCTTAATAAGCATGAAAATCTTTGCTCCAGAGGGGATTGTTGTGTAAATCTGCTGAAGCAAAAGCAACAGTGAGTCCAGTTGTACCTTGGAGCCCGCATATTAATTATCACATATGAGCTCATGTGATGCTCAGTGCATCCATTTTTAAGGTGTTACAAGATTATTTACTCTTTCTATACCTTAACCCAAATAAGTAACTACAAAAACGCAATAAAATAACAAACTAGAAATGATCCACCAATTAACAATGACAATAAAATACCAGCCAATTGTTCTGGTAAAGTCTTCTGCCTATTCTTTGAATCTAAGTTTTATCTGCTTTCTAATGTCTTTTAAATTTACTTATTTCTCAATTTAATTTTGTCTTTTTCTACCTGACTCTCAGATCTCTTCTATTACAGTTTCTGGCTTTACTACCAATCAGCATAGATATTAGCAGAGAATTATGGGTTCTGTATTCCAACATATGTTGGAATATTCCAGTGTACAGGATGGAAATTTGATGCATTTGCTTAATTGTTAAGAAACAAAAAATAGCATACCTTTCAAGGCAACTTATAAAAACAAAACAAAAAACCTGCAATGTATCTAATTTATTAGGTTAAAAAAAATGCTGTCATTTCATGGGAAATATCTATTGTTGGCAATGAGAACTGGGAATTCAGAGTAGTCAGGGGAAAAACTGTTGAAGAAGCAGGAAGCATCTTACCTAATTAACAATAGGTTTCTCCTCTTCTTTCCCCAGGCATGGAACTATTTTAGAGGCATATAAAATAGTGAATTGCCTCTTGAACGTGTCTTTCTTTTTCCAGTTTTCCAGCTGTCCTCAACTGACCTTCTCTCTGCTATTTCGCTAGGTGCAATGTTCTTTCCCTTCAGGAGTGGGACAGTTCTGAGGAGTGAAGCAGAGGTGGCATTCAGCCGGTTCTGACCAGTTCTGGAGAACTGGTAGCAGAAATTTTGAGTAGTTTGGAGAACTGGCAAATACCATTTCTGACAGGCCCTGCCCCCCATCTATCTCTGCCTCCCGAGTCCCAGCTAATCGGCTGGGTCTTTTATTTATTTATTTATTTGATTTGCCAATTGTTTACAAGATAGTAAGTATAAGTGTATACATAGTTGTGGATACATGAAATGGGTACATATAAGAAAAATAAAAGAATAAGAGAAACAATAGGACAGGGACGGTAGGCACGTTGGTGCGCTTATGCACGCCCCCTGTCTTTGTTGCCCTGCACAAGAGAATGGAGCTGGAAAGCAGGTTAGTAGGGTGGGGAGGGAATGGGGATTTTGCAGTATCCTTCCCCTGCCACACCCACCAAGCCACGCCCACAGAACTGGTAATAAAAAAAAAATTGAATCCCAAATTTGAATCACTGGAGTGAAGGCTCATGGGAGGAACCTTTTATTTCAAGCCTTTGCTCCAGAACCTTGAGACCAGGACATCAAGGAACAAGAGATTTGGGCAATCCCAATTCAGATGGCATAATTGGAAGATTGCTTTATAATATGGCAGACATGGGCTACGCTCACACGCCTACATATGCCAAAGCATTATTTGGAGGCTGAATATTAAATGCAGCAGAACTGCAAAAAAATGCCATCAAACCCTGAGCTCATTTTAACCATCGTGATGGGCTGTGCGAAGAAAGAAGGAGGTAAAGAACAGACTTCCTGAGACAGTTGAGCGTTGCCTAATAAGCAAGTTCTTGAGGGCTTGGGGACTTTTGACCAGTCCTTTGCTCCCAGCTCACCTAAAACTGCAATTCCTAACTTGTCTGACATATTTATACAAACACTTTATAGAAATTTGATTTGGAGGAGAAGAGAGTCACTATCTTTTGCCTGTTTAGGGGATTTCCCTCATGATGTACAAGTTGATATCCAAGATGGCCGTGTGAGTAAAAGCCAATTGCTCGCAATGTACATACAGCAAAAGATAGTAAAATGGCATATAGAGGCAAATTCAGTACCGGGAAAGAAGTATCAGCACATCCTCCCTTAATTTCAGAGTTCTGATGTTCAGCTGCGGGTTTAGGCTCAACAATCTATTTCAAATTGCTGGTGTCTTGCCAAACAAGCCCTTTGTGCAGCTCGAGGGCAAGGTTTTTCATGCAGAAGGTCACCAGTTCAGTCCATACCACCTCCAAGCGGGAAGGAAAATGTTTCCTGTCCAAAATTTGAAAATTTTTTTGCTGTTACAGACCAGCGTCGGGGCATTTCAAGAGAAAAAGCTGTTTATCAGCTGCAGTTGAAATTGCAATTGACACTCTGCGGACAGAGATCCTATTGTTTTTCTCCCCCGGCTCTATTCTTTCCCTAGCCTTATTAACAGACTACAGGTAGTCCTTGGCTTACAACAGTTCATTTAGTGACCGTTCAAAGTTACAAAGACACTGAAAAAAGTGACTGATGACTGTTTTTCACGCTTACGACCTTCGTAGCAGCCCCATGATCATGTGATCAAAATTCAGGTGCTTGGCAACTGGTTCATATTGATGGCCATGGCTGTGTCCCAAGGTCATTTGATCATCTTTTGGCAAGTTTTTGATAAGCAAAGTCAGTGGGGAAGCCAGATTCACTTAACAGCTGCAGTGATTAACAACTCTGGCAAGAAATGTTGTAAAATGGGGCAAAGCTCACTTAGCAAATGTCTCACTGAACAACAGAAATTTTGGGCTCAATTGTCGTAACTTGAGGACTATCTGTATCCTTTTCATTCAATTCTCTTCTTTCCTCACAGAGAGATCTTTCAGTAATCAGAATTCTGGTTTTTGCTTTCTGAATTGCCTCTGCGGTCTGCTATGTGGAAGCTGTGGCATTTTGATCCCTAAAAGCCTGGACAGAAGATGTTTTCTAATTTTTATGTATCAGTAATAAAAGCCCAAATGCTTTAAAAAAATAGTTGAGCTAGATTATCATAGCACAGTTTTATTTAACAATTTGTTCAAAACAAGTTTAGAAAATGTCGATTAAGCTTGCCACTGGATAGCAAATTGACTAAACGATCTACTAAACGATTCCTTCTGAAAATAACCGATTTCTTTAATCAATTTCACACATAAGTCTTATCGAAAGCCTGATTGTTAGCAACCATTTTTACTAGGTCAGCTGAATTTTCCCAGGTTATGTAGTTATATGTTTATTTTTTTAGCCCCTGGAGAAACATGCACGATCCTAAAAATCAGGCCACCCTATATGAATTGAGGAAGGCTGCTCCCTTTCCTCCCCAGCTGTAAATGTTTATAAATGTTTTGCTGAGGTAACAAAAAAGGACAGTTGTTTCACTTTTGTGCAAATTCCTTGTTCAACAGGACAGATTGCCAAAATACAATACATAAAACATCCCTTTTTTTGTTTTCCCCTACTACTATTAATTAATTAATTGGTTTAGAATTGCAGAAGTAGTTTTTAAAAAGAGAAGGGATAGGTTAAAATCTTTTCATTAAGGATGAAAAAATATTTCCTAACTGGATCATAATTTTATTGGATCCAAGTAAAATTAATAAAACTGAGCCTGCATATTTTAGTTCCCTAGAACAGTCCAATAGACCTTCAGGCTTTCTATATATTTATATTCTATCATCAAAAACAGGTTTTGGATTTTTTTTCCCCCATGGATCATGAATCTGTATTAATTAAATACAATTCACTCAACTATAATTCATTTAAAATACTTTCAGGAGAGAAAGATTTTTTTTAAAAAAAGGCTTGCTGAGATTAGTGCAGGGCAGTGCCAACCTATTACTCTGCAAATGTTCTTGACTACACCTCCCATCATTCTCAGCCAACATGACTATTGTACAGGTGAAACTCGAAAAATTAGAATATCATGCAAAAGTTCATTTATTTCAGTAATTCAACTTAAAAGGTGAACCTAATACATGAGATAGACTCATTACGTGCAAAGCAAGATAGTTCAAGCTGTGATTTGTCATAATTGTGATGATGATGGCTTACAGCTCATGAAAACCCCAAATCCACAATCTCAGAAAATTAGAATATTACATGCAATTAATAAAGCAAGGATTGTACAGAGAACAATATCGGACCTCTGAAATGTATAAGCATGCATATGTACTCAGTACTTGGTTTGGGCCCCTTTTGCAGCAATTACTGCCTCAATGCGGCGTGGCATGGAAGCTATCAGCCTATGGCACTGCTGAGGTATTATGGGAGACCAGGATGCTTCAATAGTGGCCTTCAGCTCTTCTGCATTGTTTGGTCTCATGTCTCTCATCTTTCTCTTGGCAATGCCCCATAGATTTTCTATGAGGTTCAGGTCAGGCGAGTTTGCTGGCCAATCAAGCACAGTAATCCCACGGTCATTGAACCAGGTTTTGGTGCTTTTGGCAGTGGGAAGGTACCAAGTCCTGCTGGAAAATGAAGTCAGCATCCCCATAAAGCTCGTCTGTGGAAGGAAGCATGAAGTGCTCCAAAATCTCCTGGTAGATGGCTGTGTTGACCCTGGACTTAATGAAGCACAGTGCACCAACACCAGCAGATGACATGGCTCCCCAAATCAACACAGACTGTGGAAACTTCACACTGGACTTCAAGCATCTTGCAGTGTGTGCCTCTCCATTCTTCCTCCAGGCTCTGGGTCCTTGGTTTCCAAATGAGATGTAAAAGTTGCTCTCATCAGAAAAGAGGACTTTGGACCACTGAGCAACAGACCAGTTCTGTTTTTCTTTAGCCCAGGTAAGACGCTTCTGATGTTGTTTGTTGTTCAGGAGCGGCTTGACAAGAGGAATACGACATTTGAAGCCCATGTCCAGGATCTGTCTATGTGTGGTGGCTCTTAATGCACTGACTCCAGCCTCAGTCCACTCCTTGTGAAAGTCCCCAACACTTTTGAATGGCCTTTTCCTGACAATCCTCTCCAGGCTGCGGTCATCCCTGCTGCTTGTGCACCTTTTTCTTCCACATAACTTTCTATTAATGTGCTTTGATACAGCACTTTGGGAACATCCAACTTCTTTTGCAATTACCTTTTGAGGCTTTCCCTCCTTATGGAGGGTGTCAATGATGGTTTTCTGCACAACTGTCAGGTCAGCAGTCTTTCCCATGATTGTGATTTCTACTGAACCAGACTGAGATACCATTTAAAGGCTCAGGAACCCTTTGCAGGTATTATGGTTTAATTAGCTGATCAGAGTGGGACACTTTGAGCCTAGAATATTGAACCTTTTCACAATATTCTAATTTTCTGAGATTGTGGATTTGGGGTTTTCATCAGCTGTAAGCCATCATCATCACAATTATGACAAATCACGGCTTGAACTATCTTGCTTTGCATATAATGTGTCTATCTCGTATATTAGTTTCACCTTTTAAGTTGCATTACTGAAATAAAGAACTTTTGCACGATATTCTAATTTTTCAAGTTTCACCTGTAAATTGTTATCTGATGCATTCAGAAAGTTTGTAGAAGGATGATTTGTTATAAAGGCAAAGCTTTATATATATTTACATGTCAAATATATGTCTTTGGTTCCTCTTAAACCATTTCTGCTTACTGTCTGCATTCCAACAAATATTTGTTCAAACTTTTTCCTGCAGTGCGTGAATGTGTTCCCACATTGTTAACAAAACAAGTCTTCTAAATTTGATGGGTCCTTGCTATGACTTTAGGAATTTAGGAGTATTTTTCTTTATATGCTCTGAGAAGAACTTGTTCAGAAGGATAAAAGCAACAGGAGAGAAAAAAAATACAGGAAAACGGGCAATCCCTGGAGTGCTGCCTCAGAGGGCATTAAATGTTTATAATTGGAGAGCCAAATAGCAGAGGAAAAGGGGATATTAAAACATCCTTCAGGAACCAGTCTTCCCATTGTGTCTATGACAGAGGTCCCCATACTTGGCAACTTTAAGACTTGTGGACTTCAACCCCCAGAATTCTGGGAGTTGAAGTCCGCAAATCTTAAAGTTGCCAAGTTTGGAGACCCCTGGTCTAAAAGGACCTCCTATGTTTCAGGGGTATTCACAGGATGTGGAAAAAATGTGAAAATGGTGGCTGTGAAAAATGTGGTTCAAGTTCCATTTTTTATTTATATATGAATTCCCTCAATCACATTTTTACACTCACCATCTTGGTTTTTTTCAATCATATCTCATTGACATTCCTGCCATGTTTCTTGTTCGTGGTGGAAAACATACTTTACGTTTTGGAAGAGAGTACGCTGAAAAAGAGTATGCTGAAAGAAAAGTACCCTTTCTTTTTTGCTCAATTATTTATTTGTATGTATTTTCCATTATTATAAAGCTCAAGAAGCTTACAACCCACAGTTAAAATGCAAGAGAGTACGAGCAGATCAAAACACTGCAAAAATAGCACCTTCACTTAAAAAAAAATGAGAGAGTGAATGAAGGAGAATCAAACAAAAAAGCCCTCCATCAAACATTAATGCTATACACACGGAAGGCTGGATGAAGAAATAGGTGCTTTGTGAATTTCAGCAGGAAGAGCATTCCAGACCAAAGTTGCTATTGGGGAGAAGCTGCTCTGCAGTTCTTAGCAGATGGTCCTTGCTATCATTAGTGGTGTCATAGGACAAACATTCTCCTGCTGATCCTTCTCTTAGCTGTAGCGTTCAGAGACCTTCCTAAAACAGTGCAACTGGACGAGAGGGCAGAACCAAATTCAGTTGTGACTACCTTCTCCGTCAATTGTACGAACTCAACCGATGTGCCTGCGACATCCCTGAAGAGCGTCACCCCAGTTTCCTCTTTTTTCAACTTTCTAAACATCTTATCTGCTGGCAACTATCAGGTAAACAAGATCATATAGGCCAGGTCCAATATATCTTAGAATTATTTTTGAGGAATAGTATTTGTCTTGATGACCAAGGAAATGCTCAGGGATAGGTGGCATTTTTCTAATAATTTACAAACAATTTGGACTCTTACTACTAAGTGTTCCAGCTTCCTTCAACCACATGCGCTCTGAAGTTTTCAGATTACAATTTGGAGAATCCCGTAATGAACTTATGGTCCAACAAATCTGATGGCTCAGGTTTGGGGGCAACTAGAAGACAAGGTTGGGAAAACGGATTGTGGTTCTGTTGCTCCCATGCAGAACAGAAGTGAGTGGTGGATTTAGTAAAGAACGCCTCTTCCAATGCTAGAAGGTCTTAGGAGGGCTCTGCTTATAATGTTATCAATGGATAAAGGTGATCTAAACCTGAACTTCTCCATTTGTGTTCATCCTCACTTTGGAACTCTCTATGTTCAAAGTGCATGAAGTAGTTCTCAGTAGAACATTTTATGAATTAAGATATTTATCTATTTATTCATGTGAGGGTTCTTTTTGATAGATTCACTTCTAACTATGGCATTTGACTATATGGTTTTCTTTACAATTCTCGGTTTTACATATTTTGTATTTGTTCTGTAAATCATTTCGCAGTACTTGGTGAAGTGTGGTGTGCATATTGACAATAATCTTGAAGAACTGAAAGAATGAAATATAAGGTTAATAAAATCTTCATCACCCCAGAGTTCTTAAGAAGGGAGACCGTATTCAGTTTCTACCAAAAACTCTGGAATGGGGAAATAGACTAACCATAAATTCCACAGAGGTGGGTGGGGTTGTTGTTGTTTTGTTTTTAATTTAAAAAGATCACTTTTATATGGACTCAAACACCACATTACTGAGTTAGCAATACATTGGCTAAGCTCTCAAACATAGCTGATGTGAAGAAATTATTGAGATCCAGGGTTGCTTTTGAAGTGGCTGACAGTTCTTTGGTGGAGATACCCTCAGAGAAGTACAGGGGAGGGAAGAGGCTGGTGAACTCTACTATGTTCTAATGCTTACTTAAGAATCACACCAAGGTTGTTCCTTTTGATTCCCAGGTGAGTCTTAGTCCCAGTGCTGCTCTAGATGCTAGAGTGGTGAATCTCTATGCCTTAACATTCACTGCAAATTGCAGAGGAGAGACAGAAGATGCTCAGCTCTTCGTTCAAGTTAATGAAACACGGAGATTAGTGTGCAATGGCGTAGGTAAGAATGGCATAGGTACGAATGCTGCAGCTTCCTTGATTAAGTTAGTTTTGGCACATTCGGCAAAAGTGCTTCAATGATGAACATTGTAACATAAGATTATAGGGGAATTGGATGAGGTGGGGATTAGTCAGTAGGCAGTGGGATGCATTGGATTTTCCATCAGCTTGGAGCAGATCCTGATCAGCACAGGGCAGCAAAATATTACTTTGACCAAGAATAGAAGAGAGAGTAGAGTAGTGGTAGTAGAATTGCCCCAAAGGTCTCATAATCCTGAAACGAGGGACTGTTCAACCTCAGTTTTCCCATGTTGCCATGTTCAATTCACTACTATGTTAGTTTCTCCTCACACCCCCCCCCCCATCTCTCTTCTATCATAGGACGGTTGCCTATACAAGTTTCAGAGGATATTGGACCTGGAGAAACAATCTACACAACTGTCTTGAAGAGGCGGGGCACAGGCAACCTGACCGTAAGTGCAGTGGTTGGGAGAAAAAAGCAGAAGTGTGCTTGAGGAAAGCTCTGTGATCACAAGGAGCGACAAATTGTTATTCACAAATGAGAGGAAAAAAAATTCCTATGGATTTTCTAAGATGAGGTCATAATCTGAGGGAAGATGGCATTTTGAAGGGTGACTCGGACAGGGTGAGACAGTGGGTGGGGTAACAAGTGGAGGGTATTGTCTACTCTATAATCGCCACATTGTCTTCCCTTCCCACAGTTCACCATTGAGGATCCTTCCTTACCTTTTGTCATAACTCCAGAAGGAGCCTTGCAGGCACCTGCCGAAGGTTTCACTCGTGAACAAGCTGGCAAGGTATGTGCTATTGTTTGCCTTGCACATATATCTGCTTAGCATCCCAGTGAAATAGTGAGAGTCCATTCAAGGCGTGTTACTCCTTGGCTCTCTGTCACATCCCAAACAATCCCAAGGAGAATTGCATGCCTGCAGGGAGCTTTTGTTGTCTTTATCAGCGTTTGGCACTAGACTTTGATTTCCACATGTCTTGTTTCAGGCCTTTTGGACCTTTCTCATTGCACAGTTCTTAATAATTTCAGGGAATTATCTGTTTCTAAAGCTTCTGTGGAACCGTAGGCTTATTCATTGGGCCTCTTGGATTCAATTAACCTTTCCTGTATTGCCCCTGTAGACATTCCCACGAAAAATTGTGGTCAAGGATTCTGCTTCAAGCAGTTGTGCAGTGGCTCTGTCTATCCAGGTGAACCCTGTTTACCATAACAAAGTCAGTTTCAGGTGAGTTGGAGGAGGTGGGGATAAAGACATGATGATGTTTAGGTTGGGTTGCCAGGAAATAGGTATGGCCCAAGACATCCTGCTCTTCCATTATATCCTTTAAAGCAGTGGTCTCCAACCTTTTTATGCCGCGGCCCGGTACCGGCATCAGCTGGGCGCCGCCATCTTGTTTTGATGAAAAAGTGCTTCCAGTGAGCTCATCAAAACAAGATGGCGGCACCCAGCAAACCAGCGGCCCGGTAGGATTTGTTCCATGGACCGGTACCGGTCCATGGACCGGTGGTTGGGGACCCCTGCTTTAAAGGCATTCATTACTACACAATCCCTTGCAGTGAATGCCACAGAATTGGAATTATGCCAGAGAATAATTATCACTTCAGATCTAGTCACATGAAATCCCACTTAATCTTACAGTACAGTCTCAGAATCCTGTGATATTTAGAGGTAGTCCTCGACTTACGAACACAATTGAGCCCCAAATTTCCACTGCTAAGCAAGTTAAGTGAATTTTCCCCCATTTTATGACCTTTCTTGCCACATGTGTTAAGCAAACCACTGCAGTTGTTAAGTTAGTAACACGGTTGTTGGCTTTCCCATTGACTTGGCTTGTTGAAGGTCGCAAAAGGTGATCACACGACCCTGCGACACTGCAACCATCATAATAAATACATGCCAGTTGCCAAGCAACCGAATCTCAATCACATGACCACAGGGATGATGCTGCAATGGTCGCAAGAATGAAAACTGGTCATAAATCATTTTTTTCAATGCCATTATAAATTTTAGTGGTTACTAAATAAATGGTTGTAAGTCGAAGATCACACGTATTGGAATTTGAAGATGCACTGCTCAAAATGATGCTTTGCTGGCACTTCTAAAATTTCAATCATGCATGACCTGAGGCAAGGCTACCTACTACTAATGGAAACCCAAGCACATGAGGAATCATTGAGTCTCCATCCACCCGTACCTTCTCTGGGGAAAGAACTGGAGGAGTCAAAGCTTGAATCAAGCTGCACACTTCTGGAACTCCTGAGATGTTATGTTTTCTACTGAGATTTTTTAATTCCCTGCCATGTAGACCAAATTGTAGATATGGAATGTATTGCAGAAAGGGGATGAGGAGATTTGATTCTCTTTCTATTGCCTAGTACAGGGATCCCCAAACTTGGCAACTTTAAGACTTCTGGACTTCAACTCGCAGAATTCTGGAAGTTGAAGTCCATAGTCTTCAAGTTGCCAAGTTTGGAGGCCTCTGGCCTAGTATAAGAACAAGTTTTCTGTCTCTTCTACGTTATAAGTCTAGGTCACATAGATTGAACAGACTGGAGTATGATCTATACTTGTAGTTCAACCAAACACTATTACATCAACCAAATATATTTAGAATTCTGAGGAAGACATGCATGGGGACAGATTTACTTCATGATATATATCCTGGTCAATGTTTCTATTTTTGTGACCATGTAACCATATAACATTTTTCTTTTACTTCAAGTAGGCAGAGTAAACAATATTGCGCTTGATAGACTCCTGATACCAAAAGAGTTATTTACACCTTTGCCTTCATGATTTAGGGAATCATCAGTTGCATGTACAATACAGGAAAGTGTACCACCTTTGTTCAACGTCATACAGGTTCAAGCAAGTGTGAAACCTGTGGTCTACCAGATCATCTCCCCAAGCACAGACCATTTTACCATTGAACCAGGTAATGAAAGCCCCAGGTAAGCCATAGCATCCACATCATCTCAGGAAGTTTCTAGTAGCTAGCTATGCTGATTTTCAGTTTTCATCCCTCTTGCCTTCAAGAGGCTGAGAATCAATCTTCTTCATTAGAGGGCTTCCAGGGGAGGTGTAGCGAACTGAAAACAGCTCTGTAAAAGCAACAAAAGTAAAAACAAGTGGTAAAAACCAAGGAATCAGTGAATTTTGTTCCTTGGACCCATTCCAGATAAGGAGAGGACAGGATTGCTCATATGTGCTTCAATGGCTGCTTCTCTCAAGACCAGCAGCTTTCTGTGTGTTTGAATACCAGATGAAAAGATCAACCATCTTGCTTACAACCTGACAAGGACGCTAAGTTTCTAATTACTTTTGGAATTTGCCTACAAGTTCCTTACAACCACAAAATTGAGCCTAAAATTTCCTTTGCTAAGTAAGACAGTTGTTGAGTTTTGCTGTATTTTTATGACCTTTCTTGTCACTGCTGTTAATCACTACAATTTAGTAAGTTAGTAACATGGTTGTTAAGTGAACCTCGCTTTCCCATTGGGCTTGTCAGAAGGTCACAAAATGTGATCACATGACCCCACAATATGGCAACAGTCATAAATACATGCCAGTTGCCAAGTGTCCAAATTTTGATCACATGGAGATGCTGCAATGGTCATAATTGTGAAAAATGATCATGTCATTTTTTCAGTGCCACTGTAATTTTGAATGGTCGTTAAATGAATAGTAAGTCAAAAGACTATCTGTATTAACTGTTCTAAAGCTACAGTATTAGAGACCTTTGAAATGACAGGTTTGAAGTCTTCATCAGGAAAATGTATCTTCAACTCTGAACAAAACAAAGATTAATTACAAGTTTAAGAAATGAAAGAATTTGAAAGAAAAAGAAAAAAGCTAAATAAGACTTTGACCTAAGAAAATTATAAATGGATTAGGGGGTCCAGATAAATTTGGAGTATTGACTTTTACTATAAGATTTTGGAATTAACTATAAAAAATAACAACTTCTTGTAGGAAACAGTTGTTTTGGTTATTGCAATTGGAAGTGAGATAAAAAATAAGTTATGATTTTAGAAACTAGACACTAGAGCAGGGGTGTCAAACTCATGTTATCATGCCGTCATGTGACATATCACGCCTTTTCTCCTTTCGCTAAACCAGGGGTAGACATTTTTTATTTATTTAATTTATTTATTTTTGTCAATTGCTTACAAGATAATAGGTATAAGTAAAAACATAGTTATGAATACATGGATACATATAAGAAAAAAAAAAGAAAGAAACAATAGGACAGGGACGGTAGGCACGTTGGTGCGCTTATGCATGCCCTCTACAAACCTCTTAGGAAAGGGGTGAGGTCAATAGTAGACAGTCTAAGGTTAAAGTTTTTGGGGTTTGGGGAAGAAACCACAGAGTCAGGTAGAGTATTCCAAACATTGACCACTCTGTTGCTGAAGTTGTATTTCCTGCAATCAAGTTTGGTACGATTAACCTTGAGATTGTACCTATTGTTTGCTCTTGTGTTGTTATGGTTGAAGCTGAAGTATTCATTTGCAGGTAGGACATTGCAATGTATGATTTTATATACTAAGACATGGCCAGCGCTGACACGACTGGCCCACAGGCTGCAAGTTTGACATCTCTGCGCTAGAGGGAACTAAAGATTTTAAGTAGGAGACAAACAATGCTGATGTCAGTTACAACTTACAATATGATACAAAACATTATAACTTCAGAAATATTCAAGGAGATCTTTGAAGAATAAATCCACAAGTTCGTAACTACAGTATCAACAGTGTCAGTAACAATGTCTGCTTCTAGGTAGGTAATCTATGTCTTAAAAGATGTTAATGAAGGAACAACAGAAGTGATCAGAAATTTTATCTGATAAGACAAAGTCTCTTGGTCTGCCATTTGTGGAATTACAAATGGCAGACCAAGAGAACAATTTAGAAAAGGACAGATGATGGACCAAGAGAATGACTTGAGAAATGTTTTCTTATTGGATCTACAAGAGTGTGATAGGATAAAAAAGAATTGAAGAGAAATAAAATTCTATGACAATATTTGATTGAATTAAGACTGCTATAAGTAAAAGGAAGGAATATAAACTTGTTTATATAATCAAGGTTAAAATTATTTGTTGTAATGTTCTAGTAATCCTTTATGAGTTTATTAATGACACCAGGGTTGAAAAGTCATTTTTTAATGAATTTGCATATAGCTTAAGGGATGGGATATGAGAAAAAGAGATATCTGTTTATAGACATTGAAGAGTTATTAAATTTGTTTATTGTAAGGTTGGAAGTCACTTGATGTTTATTTATTTTCTTTTTCCTTATTATACAGGTAGTTCTCGACTTACAACAGTTCATTTGGTGACCGTTCAAACTTACAACATCCCTGAAAAAAGTGACTTATTTCATATTTATGACCATTGTAGCATCCCTATGATCATATGGTTTACATTCGGATGCTTGAAAACTGACTCACATTTATGATGGTTGCAGTGTCCCAGAGTCATGTAATCACCATTTGTGACCTTCTGAGAAGCAAAGTCCATGAGGAAACCAGATTCAATTAAGAACTGTGTTACTAATTTAACTGCTGCAATGAACAAATGTGGCAAGAAAAGTCATAAAATGGGGCAAAACTCACTTAACAAATTTCTTACTTAACAACATACATTTTGGCCTCAATTGTGGTCATAAGTTGAAGACTACCTGTATTTTCTTTGCTTCTTTCTTTTTCTTTTTTACTCCACTTTTACTCTTGCTTTCCATTATCTTCTTTTTCTCAAATTTAGTTTGTATATGTTTTTCCAAATGTAATTAAATTTCTTAATAAAATAATAAATGTTTTAATTATGCAGATACAGGCATCATCAGGACCACATACTACTTAAATCTGAAAAACAATCCAAGCTTGGCTAACACCCAGTTGGAAGTGAAAGCTTACAATATGCTCAACCACGCTGATTATGCCATCATCATTGTCAACATTACTGTGAAACAGGAGAACTTGGAAGGACCCTTGTGTTCTCCTGCTGTGTTTGTGTACGCCTTTGCAAAGAAAATTGTGATAGCTTGAGCCAAGAAAACATAGAGTAATAGAATCAATTTGAGGATGTCTAACTTTCTGCATAGGGATGCATGTGTGGTAGATTAGGAGGGCTACTATTTCTGAAGTGAGAAGTATAGGAATTAGATGGCTAAGTGGGAAGAGATTTTAGGATTTCTTAAAGGTAAATAGATCCAGGTAAATTCCTTAACCAATTAAAGCTCGTTGTCCCCAGGAACTGTGGTAGTTTTGATTGTGTAATCCAACAAATCTGGGAGTCACACAAGTTTAATTAACTGTGGGCTAAGGGTTTGGAGAAATCAGAACCCAAGGTACATATCTTTTGACCACATAAACCAAAACTAAGTTAGTGGCCCGGTTGGAAGTCTTGAAGTTCTACCTTTTCTTTTAAAAACAGTCTTTAAAGAGTAACTTCTGAAAATCAACAGGATCTCTTTTTCTATTTTCTTGTTGTTTTTTCTTCTTGTGATTAGTTTTGCTTAATTCCAGAACTGAGGTTCCAGAGAACACTTCAATTGGGAGGACCATATTGTCTCTGTCTTGCTATGATCCAGACAATATCAATAGCAGCTTGACATACAAAATAGTTGACCAGAACCCACCTTATAGCTTCAAAATGGATGGGCCAAATTTGCAGGTGAGTCTTTGGAGTGGAACATCAGTCACTTAGTGTATATCAGTAAGGCTTGAATAATTTCCTCCACAACAATTCATATGAGCAGTACTAAAAATATACATTTAAATGAACAGTACATTTAGTGCAAAGCTCAACGGGGCACTGAATTACCATTCATATTGTGGTGCTTTAGGGACCCTGATTGGAGCCTTGGATCTTAGTTGACTAAGGACCTCTCTTTTGTAGAAGATACCATAAATTTTTATGCCATGGTTAATAACGAAAGGTAACTTCTGTCCTCTTTCTCCTGGTCTTTCTATCCTGTGGTCTGATAGGTAAATAGCAGTTTGGACTATGATTCAGAAAGTATGGCCACTCTTAACTTTCAATACAAAGCTGCCATTCTAGTGATAGATGGAGGAAGTCCTGCACAAACCAGTAAGTACCACATTGCTAAAAAGCACTATTTGAAGTTTGTCATTCTTGGATATTGATGAAGTCAATGAAACTTGGAAGAATTCTAGAATATATCTCCCCCAAATGTTTGGACCATGGCTGCCTAAATAGCTATTTGAAACGTGTTGACAAAAATAAATTTAGAATGTTTATGACTGTTGTCCAACCTGGAGAAAAGTACTACTAAAATAATGTAATTTTATGCAGAAAACAAAAGCTAACTGATATACTATTGGGCAATTTCCTGTCTTTCATATAAAACAAAAAATAAAATAAAATAAAACTCTGTATCTGGGTAGTTGAAATTACTGACTAAATCACTAAAGAATATATTTTTCCCCAAATAAGGAGAACTATTTAAGCATGAGAAGTAAAATTTGTTTGAATCAAGCTTCACATGTAATGACCAAAAGATCATATAATTTTCTTGACAAACACCTTCCTGTTTTCATGGTCATTGATCAATGTAAAATGATCATACTTTTATTCAGTACTATTGAAAGTAAAATAGGGCAGTGATTAGTTTGCCCAGAAGCAGCTATCAGCATATTAATGAAAAGGCATCTAAGAGACCGAAAGAAGCAATTGAAAAACAGCAGTTGGTTGAGACTGATGTAAGCCATGCACTGGTGCCTGACTGGAGACAATTGTTAAGTAAATTTGTGATAGGCAAACAATAGCTACATGTGATTTATGTCCTCCCCTGTAGAAAGCAGATTTACAGATTACAGATTAACAGAGTTGGAAGGGACTTTGTAGGTCATCTAGTCCAATCCCCTGCCCAAGCAGGAGACCCTATACCATTTCTGACAAATGACAGTCCAATTCTTCATGAAAGTCTCAAGTGATGAAGCTCCCACAGCTTCCGAAGGCAAGCAGACCAGTCAGAAAGCCCAGGATAGACTACCAAGATGTATGTTTGACAAATTCATCAAAAAATTAATACAATTGAAATAATAAAATTATACCAAAAGGGAAATGTTCAGAGTCTATATAATAGCTTCTTTCTATAGCCTTCTATCGCCAGAGGGTATTTCATAGCCTCTTTCTGAGTTCTTTCTATATATATTAGAATAATCCTTTCCCCAATGGAACATGACTATTAATTTTAGGGTACATATAAAATGCATATACAAGTTGAGCAAATTTAGCAGAATGGTGGTATGTAAGAGAATCAAGTTCTTATACTAGGTTCTAACCATATTAAGCCAACATACGAATCACTCCTAAAGATATGCATACTCATAGTCTATGTGCTTAGCCGTATGTGTCAATATAGGCCCACCTCATGGGTTTCTAGTTTGGATGCCAGAGCGGAAATGTGGGCAAAGAAATCTCATTTAATGGCTGCCAGGCTCCATATCTTCCCTGATCTTATTTTTATTTTTAGATTTCTTAAAAAATCAAGGTGGTGTGGTTCAGAACCAAACACCAGCCTCAAGCATTATCTTTGTTTCCAGCAGTGTTTCTGAACTTCACCATACCCCAGAGGCATTAGAAATGACAAATGATTTGGTAGCTAGAGCCAGTGTTTTGTTTGGCAGTATGCCCAGCTGCCCAGAAAAATAAAGACAGATGTAAGGTGAAATGGTAGGTCTGTGGTAGCAGGAATTAACCACTTTAGCTTGCCTTCCAGTAAATTGGCTTTTTCTCACTAGTTGCCCCATAGTAGCTATTTTATGAGAATGCTCATGGCAGGTTTTCAAAAATCCTAATATACTGTGGGCCTCAAAAGATTGGAGATCACAGGTCTACCCCCATTCATGTATAAAGTGTGATTAAGGACAAACTTTCAAGTGAAATAGACAAGAATGTTGAATTCTTCCCCATGTGATTTACATCCCAATATGTATAGAGAACTATGGAGATGGCCTTGAAGAAAACATGCAGCAACCATTAGCAAAACTTGAACTTAGTCCAGGAAGGCAGAAACCCAAGACTAACTGTCTTTGATATAAGAGAGACAGAAGGAGGAATTCTGTCAATCTTTTGAGATTATGTTATTATAGCTTATATAGAATTCTAGTATTTCTTGTGGTTGATTCCTGACTGTGCCTTTAATAACTGACAATGTTACTATGAAAAGTACCAAGAAGGAGTTATTACTGGGAGATAAGCAGATGACAGTTTCTCACTCATTCTCATCCCTGCTTTCCACTAAAAATCAAATCACTCCCTTGATTGGCAAATCTAGGGGTAAACCTTCAGGTCTGCAGCCTTCATGTAAAGTTGCAGGTATCTTCAAACTTGACAGCTTTAAGGCTTGTGGACTTCAACTCCCAGAATCCCTCCTCCAGTCATGTTAGCTCAGGAATTCTGTGAGTTGAAGCCCACAAGTCTTAAAGCTGTCAAGTTTGAAGACCCTTGTATTACTGTATTTGAGCTTTGCTTGCTGTCTGTAATTATGTAGGTTAGGACCTTAGTTACTTGCCAATTACAAAGTGATTCCTGGAACTTTGTCATCACATAAGCTTTCTGAGTTTCTTTCTTTTTTTGTATCTTGCAGCCACCGTACCTGTGCTGGTGACAGTAAGACGAGTGAATGAATTCCCTCCACAATGCTCAAAACGGGTTTTCAATGTACCAGAGAATACTGAATATGGATACAACATTGGCAATGTCAATGGCTCTGATCAAGACTATCCATTCAACAACATTGAATACAGCATAATGGATGAGGATGCTTTCTACATTAATAGCCGTACAGGTAGCTAATGGTGCTCTTACTTGGCAGAGCCTCCCCAGACTTTATTTATCAAACAGCTTAAGAGTCTTCTTTCACTCATTTTTTTCAGTTGTCTGAAACTACACAAGGACTTCCTCAGGGGGAATACAACAGTACACTGATCTCCCATATTTAAAATCGAATTATGTTTAGCAACTGAATGAGGAAGGCGGGTTCCAAACTCTGTAAAGTATCACATAGGCACTACTATATATTTTAGGTCAAACAATTCCCAAAGAAGAAAACAAAACTTACAAAAAATAGTTACTTAAAAGACAGAAAGCTCGCAGGGTTTTTCTAATTTATTGGACAGAGTATCAAGTTGTAATTACAAAAGAAAGAAAGGGAGGGAGAGAGGAAGGAAGGAAGGAAGGAAGGAAGGAAGGAAGGTTCTTGACCATTGTTCACATTTCTTTCTTTCTCCCTCTGCTTTCGCCTGCCTTCTATCCCTTCTTTCCAGTTAAATATTTTGATATTTTCTTTGTACAATAAATAAGCACCAACTATATTTTTGTTAGCTGAAGCTGAACTGCGTGGCATGGGGATATAGATACTGACGAGGAGCAGGCTGGGTCTGGATGCAGACTAAACTGGAAATTACCCAGAATAGTTTTTTATAACATGTCACAGGTCAGCTACGTGTACTTTTGCCCCTGGATTATGAAGAACGGAAAGTGTATCATCTGGCTGTCATTCTGAAAGACCTGGAGAATGAAGCAGCTCCCAACACACAAAAGACAACAACGTGTAATGTCACAATTTTTGTGCAGGTAATTTGAAAACAGAAGAGAGGCTACAGTATTTTGATACAGAGCATTGATTCCCCCTCCCCTGGTGCACCATAAATTATATCCTCTAGATCACGCAATTGATTAAGTGAGATAGCTGGGGAGCTCTGACTTGCATGCTGTATTCCCACCACACTTGGTAGCTCCTGAAACTCTGCCAAACAATCCAGCAGCAGCAGATGCCAAACATCAGCCTTTGGGACATAATTATTGGGGGGAGGAGGAATGTCTATGGATAAGTGTGTTTGAATAAAGACAATATTAAATCTATTACATGCTTTATCCTAGCCCTATAAAAGAAAAACCCAAACAAGGCAATGTGTTCATCTCTAGCCTGTGCAGCAGCATGACTCAATGTCTCCGTCCTGGTTTTTAAAAATGGGAGTGCCGCCACTCTTTCCACAAAAAGGTTGGCCATTCTTGTGCTAGGAAAAGCTGAGCTTTGACCAGCCTCCTTTTCCTTTGATTTACAACTACTCACTTGCTATGCAATATGCAAATGTATCCTGTGTTACATATTTGCATCTTCCCACTTGTGCTCTTTAATAGGCTATACAGTAATGTATTTTATTGGTTTTAATTTATCACTCTTCTAAAATGTCCATTTGTTAAAGGCATTTGCAAGGAGAAACGGTAGCCTGTTATCCTATCTGTTGCTATAAAGATGCCTATCTGTGGATCCTTTCTGTCAGAAACCTGATACCTTGAAAACAAAAATTGCATGGGCATAAATTTTTGTTATTCAAGTGGGAGTAGAGAGAGACCAGCTATATAGAATAGCCAAATTGGTGTCTTCTAGATGCATTGGATTCACTGCCCATTCCCCCACAATCCCTAGACCAATAGCTATGCTGGTTGGGAACTGTTGCCAAAACATCTGAAATGTACAAGGTAGGATCGTCTCTAAAAGCTTTGACTTTATAACTTGGTATTTGCCTGCAACTTTTAAATTCAGTAGTAAATAGTAGCCATGAAACCTGCTTCAGATCAAGAGCATTGTAATACTAAGAGAAAAGCAGGGTGGCCATTTTCCCTTCTGTTGCTCTGCTAACAAAAATAAGTTTTAAAACTAGGCCCTGGGAGGGAGCAGTTTTTTTTACTGAGGGCAGTAGTTTGTTTTATGGGTTATGATCTTAATACAGTTCCTGTCTTTGAGAAATGCCTGCTAGCCCATTGAATACAGGTTGTGCTCAACCTACAACCACAATTGAGTTGAAAATGTCTTTTGCTAAACAAGACAGTTAAGTGAATTTTGCTCCACTTTATGACCTTTCTTGCCACAGTTGTTAAGTGAATCTCTGCAGTTGTTAAGTTAGCAACCTGGTTGTTAAGTGAATCTGGCTTCCCCATTGACTTTACTTGTCAGAAAGTCGCAAAAGGGGATCACACGACCCCTGTACACTGCAACCGTCATAAATACGAACCCGTTGCCAACCGATCTGAATTTTGATCATGTGACCGTGGGGATGCTGCAAACTGTCATAAATGTGAAAAACGGTCATAAGTCACTTTTTTTCAGTGCCATTGTAACTTCAAATGGTCACTAAATGGATGGTTGTAAGTCAAGGACTACCTGTATTGTAATCTCATCTGGCAAATAACCAACTGCAGAAAGTCATAGTATTCCAGCCCAAAATCACTTCTGCAAGTATCTGCTTTATGCTGTTTTTTAGTCTTAATTTGGTTTGGGTAGAATTATAATTATACACATGTTGCAATAGCTTATTTCCTTCTGTGGCAACTGGGGAAGCCTGAGGCCTGGAAATCTTTCTTGCTTGAAGGCTGGGTTGCTGTTGCTGTTGTTGTTGTTGTTTTTGGAAAGTCTGTGATCATTGCAACAAGGAGGAGAATGTTTGGAAATCTGTGAGCTGCCTACCATGAAACCTGATGTCCTTTTTATCCCCAGGATGTAAACGATCATCCTCCTAAGTGTAAAGAACCGTTTTTGTTGAGGTCCATATATTCCACCCAAGCCAGAACTATACCAATCACAGATGTTAATTGTGAAGATGAGGACAGAGGAACCAAACTGGCCTACAACATTGTTCATGGTATGGAATGGATCATAAGTTGCCAGGATCTATTTAAATAAATTAAAAGATATTTATACTGGGGTCTTCTTTTGGATCTGGAAAAAGAAGGAATAAGCTGAACTTGAAACGGGGAAAAAGTTGGAGAATAGAAGCCCACCAGTAAGGGCTGTTACTGCTGCTACTTATAAAATGATTAAATAGTTAAATTGAGGAAAAGTGGATTTAGCAAGATGGACCCAGTTAGTACTGGATAGCAATGAAAGAGGGAATGTGCTGGAAATAAAGCACATTTTTCTCATGGGGATTCTCTCCAGGTAGAGATGTCATCCAGGTGGTTCAATCCAGTTTCTGCAAGTTAACCATTTTTGTCCCCTGAGATCTGGAAGGCCTTCCTCATTTTGCCTTAACTGCCCTAGACTTCTTGATGATGATATGAAATAGGGCTCCATACCTGTGGGAATTGTAGTTCGAAGTAAGCTAAATGGAGGGTGATGGGGCTTCTGTGGGAATTGCTTGTGGACAACTGGATCAGCAAGTGGGAGAGCACTCAGAATGGAGGAACAAAAAACAAGCAAGCTGGCAGAGATGGGGTCATTTTTCAATCTGTGGCAAAACTACCCCATCTTTTGCCTTAGTGAACTGAAACGGGACCAGCTTTTTATAGGATCATTCTTGCTTCAGGGGATAGGCCAATTCCTAGCTGGAGGAAAACTGTCTCTTCTCACATCCTAATTATATATAAATTAAATATAGTATATAAAATCATACATCGCAATGTCCTACCTGCAAATGAATACTTCAGCTTTAATCATAACAATACAAGAGCACACAATAGATACAAACTCAAGGTTAACTGCACCAAACTTGACTGCAGAATATACGACTTCAGCAACAGAGTGGTCAATGTTTGGAATGCTCTACCTGACTCTGTGGTTTCTTCCCCAAACCCCAAAAACTTTAACCTTAAGACTGTCTACTATTGACCTCACCCCCTTCCTAAGAGGCCTGTAGGGGGCGTGCATAAGCGCACCAACGTGCCTACCGTCCCTGTCCTATTGTTTTTTATTTTTCTTATAAGTATCTATCTCATGTATTAAAAACTATATTTATTCTTATACCTGTATCTTGTAAGCAATTGACAAATCAAATAAATACTAAATACTTTGGCTCAAGCCAGGAATAACAGCAGCTGGAACTTTCCCCACTCCCCCTTCCAAGTTCTATACTAAGGTGTCTTCTTTCTGGAGTTTGTCTTTTCATATATCCCTACTACATTTAGAACTTGTCATTCTAGACAGAATAGCTACATGAAGCCCTGGTTAAAGTTTTTGGGAAGAGCACCTTGTTGAAAAATGGTAGGAATGCTATTCTGCCAGCTTCACAACTCACAGAAGGGTTTTTTAACGCAACAGCGGAGTGGAAGTCCTGTCAGTGAGAAGTTTTGGAGACATTTGAATGGATTTGTTTATATATTTTTTACAATATGCATTTCTACAAGTTTAGGAAAAAATGGTTCATGAGGCAGGTCACTAGCCATTTATCATCTTTATGTGGAGTGTGGTCATGGGGTTGTTTCTCATTAAATGCCACTACAGTAGTTCAGAAGGCAACTGACTGGATTTTAGCTCTCCGGGACTGGTCAGCTATAGAGGAAGGGGGGAGAACACTAATTGGCTCAGGAGGGTCGATGACAATTCGCCATGGCCAACTCGCCATGACCAACTCGCCACGGCCATCTCGCCACAGGGAAACTTGCTGCAGGACAAGAGTTTCACTAATATCAAAGAAATGGTGAAATAGAATAATTAAAGAAAGGATGAAGAAGGAGGGACATAATAAAATGTGAATGGCAAAAATTAAAATATTTTTTTTTATTTTTTAAATAATTAAATGGAATTATTACATTGTCCTGCAGCGAGTTGACTGTGATGAGTTGGCTGTGGTTGAGTTGGCTGTGATGAGTTGGCTGTGGTGAGTTGTCCCATTCCCGTCTCAGGATGCTCCCAGTGACTATCAGAGTCACAGATGTGAATATGCCAACGACTGCTGTGTTTTGGTGTTGACAAAGATCTAAAATAGTGAGGACGATTGTGGATCAGTTTCAAATAGCTTTCCGAAGGATTTCTGGCAGAAAGTTACAAGCAATTAAATTAGGAATAAATCTAACACTCACTTAAAACAGCAATGCTCTGTTCTTTTCTAGGCAATGTAAATGGCCGTTTTCGCATGGAAGGACAAAGCCTTTTCCCTAACACCTTTTCCTACAGACTTGATGGCATATATGATCCTCTTACTTTTGTGCTTCTGGTGGAAGTGACAGACAGTGTTAGCTTACCTCGGTTCACCACCACAGTCACAGTTGTTGTTAATGTGATCCCTTGGGCCACAACTGTATCTACTACCACCATAACCACTACGGTGAGCAGTCATATGTGTTGCAGGCATGGACTTTTTCTTCCATTTGCATCACTTCCATTTATCACACATGTTTGGAATTTGTCCCACGATTTCCCCAGTCTGTGAAGTAAGTCATGAGAATAGATATTTCTCTATCTACATTGCTTCCCCACAATGAAGCATTTAGGTGCCTCCAGAGGAGTAGCATTTAAAGATTGCTTTGTAAGTTCTGACAATGTGAAAGCCCAGTGGATTTTCTGGGGCACCGTGGAATTAGCAGTATTTATTTTTTTATATAGTGAATATATATAGTACTCCTTCCTCCTCCTATTTTCCCCATAACAACAATCCTATGAAGTGGGTTGGGCTGAAAGAGAGGGATTGGACCAAATTCACTCAGCTAGCTTTCATGTCCAAATTGGGATTTAAATCACAGTCTTCTGGTTACTTTATGTTACTTTCCCCCCGCCCCCATGTGATTTGGAATACGTGTGTGAGAGTGAATGACTCTGAGGCTGCTACTCAGCACAGTTTTATCTTGCTATTGTAAAGTATTCTGACTTAGCTACTGAGAGAGAATGTCAAATTCTTAACAAAAACTCCTAGAACTGGTAGCATTAATCATGCTAGTTTGGCTGCTGTAAATTGTAATTTGCAATAGGCGTAGGGCTAAGCATTCCCTGGCATTGTTGAAGCACTGTTGCAGGCTGAATCAGGAATAATAGATGGAATCTGAGTTTATGATGAAGAATGGATTGAAAAGAAATATCTATAAAATTCAAGAAGAATCAGCACCCAATAATTTAGCTCTTTCATGAGTTACATGAGTTGAGTTTGGCTGGACTGAGCTTAGCATCTGAAAAAGCTGTGTATCTGCATACTAAATTTATACTATTATGATTTCAGACAACCACCAAGAAGCCAATTGTTTTGCACAGAACTGTGACATACTGGGCACCAGATCCATGGTTTGTGGTGGTTCTTACACTCACTGGAATCCTCTTCTTTTCTGCCTTGGGTTTGCTGTTTTGGCAATTCTGCCGGAGGTGAGTATTCAGGAAAAGCATATCTGTGTTACTAGCTTGAAATCTAACATTAACTACAAATTGACTTATTGATTATGTGTCATCAAATCAATGTTGACTATTAGCAACTACTTAGATGGACCTTCTCCGGGATGACTACAATTATTAGCATCGGCTATTTCAGGACGCATTATGAAAAGGTATTAGACTGAAACCAACGATGAGCAATCTTCAACCAAGGAGCATTATATGATTTCGTAAAATATACTATAGCCCTTCCGCTGTCTGGAAAACTCTTTTCCAATTTACTCTATGCTCCAAGAAACCTTTCCCTGATCTTCCAAGCTGAAAAAAAACATTATAATTTATTTCATAGCATCTCAAAGCTCCGACCACATTCAAATAGGAGATGATGTCTTCTGCAAACTGACTCTGTTCTTGTTTGGCTTTCAGGAAGTCACCAGGAGAGCTATCTCAGGCTCTACTACAGAACACGTAAGTGCCTCTTGTCATGGATAATCTGTAATCTTCATGTGAAAATACTATTTCTGTATTTCATGTCTAATTTTGGGGGGGGAAAGCTTTGAAATAAGCTACAGATACAAACTATTAATTAGGAGCCTTTAATTTTTAAAGTCCAACAATGAAAAATAAGATAGCATACCATCAATATCAAAGCTGTGTCTGTGGAATTAGAAATATAATTTGTAAACACTGGCATTTGCTAAAGATTATACCTAGTAATAGGAATACATTACAGGCCACTAATGACTGGCCTCCAGAGCCTGAGGAGGCTGTTTTGCCCTCCCGGAAGCTCGAAAAAACAGTCTGGAGCCCAAGGAGGGCAAAAAAAGGGCCTCCTGGAGGTTCCAGAAGGCCGGAAATGGCCTGTTTCCGGCCTCCAGAGGGCCTCTGGAGCCCGGGGAGGCTGTTTTCGCCCTCCTGGAGGCTCAAGAAAAGACTCCGGAGCCCGGGGAGAGCGAAAACGGCCCCTCTGCTGTGGTGTAGGAGGCCGACTAGGCCACGCCCACGATGGCCATGCCCAGCCAGCAACCAGGCAGAGAACTGGTTGCTAAAATTTTTGAAGCCTACCCCTGCATATGCATATGTATTTGTATATTTCCACACATACACACACACACATACGCACGCACATTTATATGAATGATGATGATGTTATCCTCTGTCGTGTCCGACTCTTGGTGATTCTATGGGCCAGGTCTCTCCACGTCCTCCGATCTTGCTTCTTTGAGTTTTTCTTTGCTCTGGCTGGAGTCAGCTTTGATGGTGTCCAGCCACCGTGTTTCTTAGTGGCCTAGTTTCCTTTTACTACTAACTCTTCCGAACATAGTTGTTTTCTCCAATGAATTATCCTGCATGACATGGCCAAAATAAGTGAGATGCAGTTTTGTGATTTTTGCCTTCTAGAGGCATGGCTGGTGTTATAGACTCCAGTACTTGCCTGTTAGTCAGTTTGGCTGTCCAAGGAACACACAGGAGCCTTCTCCAGAACCACAGCTCAAACAAGTTGGTTTTCTTCTTGTCTTGTTTTTTTAAGGTCCAGCTTTCACAACCATAGGTAGCTATGGAGAACAAGATAGAATGGACTAACCTACATTTGGTTGCCAGGCTGATGTCCTTGCTTTTTCATATGCATCATTCCCAGTGGTCAAATTTTTTTACTACCGGTTCTGTGGTAGGCTTGGTGGGCGTGGAGGGGAAGTGTTCTGTACAGTCAATTTACATACTCGTAGCCCCGCGTCACGATTGGCTAAAGCGCGCGGCGACCGGATTGGTCGAGCGAGCCGCACTGATTGGCCCGTTGCGAATCCCCCGCGATTGGTGGAAACTAATCGCGGGAGATTCGAAGCGGTGCCATTGGCCGCGGCCGCCGCGGCTCGGAAATAAAAGCCGCAGTCTTTCCCTCCAAGCTTAAGCTGTATCCGGAGCCAATAAAGAGCTGAAACCAAGTCACTGACTCCGAGCTTCCTTCCCGCGACGGACACGACACTGGCGACGAGGGTGGGATTCAGAGAATAACCACCGAGCACGTGTCCCGAGGAAGACAAAGACCGACGAGATGGCCAGCATGACCCCACCAGCACCCTTCAACCCAGCTACCGAGGACTGGGAATCGTACACGGATAGATTCCTAATGTTCCTCGAAAGTAGCAATTTGAAGGATGCGAACGGGCAAAAGAAAAGGGCCGTTTTCCTCACATACTGCGGGCCCGCAGTGTTTAAGATGGCCAAAGCCCTCGCGAAGCCCGAGGATGTGAAGGAAATGGACTGGGCCGATCTCGAGCCACTCCTTCGGAACCACTACGCCCCCGCTGTGCCCATCCTCATCCGGCGGGATGAGTTCTATCGGCGGAACCAGCGACAGGACGAGAGCATCAGCGACTTCATAGCCGCCTTGCGGGACCTAGGGGGAATGTGCGAGTTCCGGGACCTGGACGATGTCCTCCGAGACCGCGTGGTCCTAGGCCTCAGGGATCAGGCACTAAAAAGTCGACTGATGGCAAAAGGCAACATCGACCTCGGGGACGCCCTGGCCGAAGCTTCCGCGGCCGAAGCCACCCGGAAGTCAGCAGCCAGACTTCGGAGGGCAGACAACGGGGACCGCACTGAAACCCCCGAGGCAAGCCGACGAGAGACCACCACACACCACGGGGACCTGGACTCCGCCTCCGATACCACGGACGAGGAGGAAGACGTCCACCGGCTACAAACAGGACGGGACCGGCGAGATCAACGGGGTCGTAAGTTGGGGAACCAGTGCGCCGGGTGCGGGGGAAATCACCTTCGATCAGAATGCCGGTTCATCGACGCGATCTGCCGGCATTGCAACAAGAAGGGCCACATCGCCCGAGTCTGCCGACTCAGAAAGACACACAGCCCCCGCCGGCGAGAACCAAGCAACCGGGGACGAGACGACACCCCCCCGAGGACCAGAGATCGCCAAGCCGACAATCGCTGGAGCCGAGACAACCGAGGGCGACGGAACGGGGAAGGCCGCCAGAGAGAAGAAACCCACCAGACGGTCACCATCGGCCATGCCGAAACCACTGATGCCCGGAAGGTCTACGTGGAGGTGAGCATCGAGGGCGAGCCATGCCAGATGGAGGTAGACTCCGGATCCTACCTCTCCATGGTCGCCTGGAAAGAACTCAAGCGACTGGTGCCAAACATCCAGAAAAGAGGACTGGAGAACCAGAAGCTGATCATCAAGGACTATCAGGGGAACCGCATCCCCGTCATTGGGACCGGACAGTTCGAGGTGACTTTCAAAAACCGCACCGCGAAACTTCCCCTGACTATCGTGGACCGGAACCGACCCAGCCTCTTAGGACTCCAATGGTTCGCGCCACTCGGGATCGAGGTCACGGGAATAAACCACACCACAGAGGCCGACTGGGAGCAGCAACTGGCGAGGGATTTCCAAGAAGTATTCGACGGCACCCTAGGCAAGTACAAAGGGCCCCCTAGCTCCTTTAGCCTAGACCCAAATGTCGCCCCCATACGCCTAAAACCCAGACGGGTGCCTTTTGCACTCCGGAAGAAAATAGACGAGCAGATTGACAAGCTCGTCAAACAGGGGGTTTTGCAGCCAATCGACCACGCCCGGTGGGAGACCCCTATAGTCACCCCAGTCAAGCCAGATGGGTCAGTAAGGATCTGCGGGGACTATAAGGCCACCCTCAATTGCGCCCTGCAACAAAGCGCCTACCCCGTCCCAGTAGTGCAACACCTATTACACTCGCTGGGGGGGGGCAAGGTCTTTGCGAAGCTCGACCTGGCGCAAGCCTATCAGCAACTGCCGGTCGATGAAGAAACCGCCGAGGCGCAAACAATAGTCACCCACCGGGGAGCGTTTCGTTGTAACCGACTCCAGTTTGGAGTCAGCGTGGCCCCAGGAATTTTCCAGAGCCTCATGGAGAGGCTGCTGCGAGGAATCAAGGGGGTGGTCCCCTATTTTGACAATGTATTAGTGTCGGCAGCCAACCAGGAGGAATTAGAGGGTCGCCTAAGGGAGGTACTAGAAAAATTCAAAGGGGCCGGGCTGAAGGTGAAGAAAGAGAAATGCCAGCTATGCACAGAGCAAGTCGAGTTCCTGGGGTACCTCCTAGACCGACATGGCATCCATCCAACCGGAAGCAAAATCAAAGCCATAAAGGAAGCCCCCACACCCAAGAACAAAACAGAGCTGCAGGCATTTCTGGGACTGCTAAATTTTTACAATGTGTTCTTGCCCCAAAAGGCGACCGCGGCGGAGCCCTTGCATAGGCTCCTGGACAGGACGGCCAAATGGACCTGGGGGAAACGGGAGGACACCGCATTCAAGAACACCAAAGACCTGCTCACCTCGGATGCCGTCCTCATTCAGTATAATGAGACCCTACCCATCGCCGTCACATGCGACGCCTCACCATTTGGCGTCGGCGCCGTCCTCAGCCATACACTTCCGGACGGAAAAGAAGCACCCATCGCTTTCTTTTCGAGAACACTCAGCAAACCCGAAAGAAACTACAGCCAATTAGACAAGGAGGCACTGGCCATCGTCGCAGCGGTAAAGAAGTTCCACGAGTACCTCTACGGCCGCCGATTCACCCTCATCACGGACCACAAGCCACTGCTGGGCATCCTGGCGGGGAACAAGGCCACCCCGAACATCCTATCCCCCAGGATGACAAGGTGGTCCGAGTTCCTCGCCGCCTACGACTACCGGCTCACACACAGACCCGGTAAGACGATCTCCCATGCAGACGCGCTGAGCCGCTCGCCGCTTCCCGACCTAGACGACGACCCAGCTCCCACGACGACCACCCTCAGCATAGAGACATTGCCCGATCTACCCATAACCGCGTCAGACATTGCCCGAGAGACTAATAAAGACAAGCGTCTGGCGCGGGTATTACATTGGGTAGAAAAGGGATGGCCAGAGAAAGACAACGATGAAGCATTCAGGACATTCCGAAACCGGCAAACAGAACTGTCACTACAGAAAGGTTGTTTGCTATGGGGGGACAGGGTGGTCATACCGGAAAAATTGCAAGGGAAAGTATTAAAATTATTACACGAAGGGCACCCGGGGATTGTGAGGACTAAAGCTTTGGCCAGAAGCTATGCTTGGTGGCCAGGAATGGACAAGGAGATCGAGGCCTGGGTAGCCAAGTGCTCGCGCTGCCAAGAAACCAGACCAAATCCCCCCGCAGCACCAATATTAGAATGGGAAACGCCCAGGGGGCCATGGTCGAGACTCCATATAGATTTTGCCGGGCCCACAAAAGGGAACACGTTCCTCATCACGGTGGATGCTTACTCCAACTGGCTGGAGGTAAGCAACATGAAGACCACCACAACAGATGCGGTAACCAAGGTCTTAAACAAGCTTTTCGCAACCCACGGCCTCCCGGATGTCATCGTGTCAGACAACGGACCCCAGTTCACCTCGCTGGAATTCGAAAAATTCCTAGCGGAACGAGGCATACGACACGCACTGACAGCGACGGCGCATCCGGCGGCCAATGGTAGGGCAGAACGGATGGTTCAATTTACAAAGAGAACCCTCCAAAAAATCGAACACGGGGACATACAAGAAAAAATAAATAAAATGCTCCTAATACAACATATAACCCCAAACACAACGACAAACAAAAGCCCGGCAGAATTACTGATGGGGAGAAAACTAAGGTCACCACTCGACAGACTACACCCCACATACAACCCGGAAAAACCCCCGGACTCATCAAGCAAGCACCGGGTTTTTGCACCAGGCGACGCAGTCTATGCAAAAAACCTTACCGGAGACCCACTATGGGTACCGGCAACTATAACCCAACTGACAGGACCCCACTCCTACCGGCTACAGACAACCGACGGACAAACATGGAAACGCCACATCGATCAATTAAGATCAAGAACAAAAAACACAACCGACACGCAACCAAACACAGACGACCCCGTTAACACAAACCAAGAGGGGAGGGAAGATACAGGGGATCAAATAGAAAATAACCAGCAATACTCACCAGTCAACAGCCAGCCCGAAGTCTCACCAGGAAGAAACAGCCAGGCCAGCTCAACCAGCCCGGAAAGACCAGGCAGGAGCGGCGAAAGTCGCAGCTCGACCAACCCGGGTAGACCGGGAGGGAGCTGCAACAAGAGACCCAGCGACACCTTCCAGGGAGTTCCATCGACAAGGCCAAGAGAAACAGAGGTCCCGACCGAACCGGCCGGGAGCCAAACAACAACTAATCTGCACAAGTCAAGTAGGCAAGTACGAAGCCCCGCCTACCTACGGGACTACGTTACGTAGGACCGAACCAAGAGGGGAGGGGTGTTCTGTACAGTCAATTTACATACTCGTAGCCCCGCGTCACGATTGGCTAAAGCGCGCGGCGACCGGATTGGTCGAGCGAGCCGCACTGATTGGCCCGTTGCGAATCCCCCGCGATTGGTGGAAACTAATCGCGGGAGATTCGAAGCGGTGCCATTGGCCGCGGCCGCCGCGGCTCGGAAATAAAAGCCGCAGTCTTTCCCTCCAAGCTTAAGCTGTATCCGGAGCCAATAAAGAGCTGAAACCAAGTCACTGACTCCGAGCTTCCTTCCCGCGACGGACACGACAGGAAGGATACTGTAAACTCTCCAGTCAGAGGTGGTATTTGCTGGTTCTCCAAACTACGCAAAATATCCACTACTGGTTCTCTAGAACTGGTCAGAACCTGCTGAATACCACCTCTGATCATTGCTGAATATGAACATGGCTCATGTTCATCATCGCTGTGCGACCCAGTTCAGTGAGGTGTTTTATTTCTGGGCTGTATCCACCAGTTTGATCGATCTGCGATCCTAGGAAACTGAATTTCCCATACATTCTATCTCTTCACCTTCCATTTCTATGTTGATGTTTCCATTCCTTGCAGCAGTCATGAGCTTGGTCTTTTTGATGTTCAGAAAGAGACCAACATTCTCACTTTCTTCTCTGATTTTCTTGATCAGATGTTCTAAGCCTTCTTTGATTTCTGAGGGGAGAGTTGTATCATCAGCATATTGAAGATTGTTGATGTTTTTTTCCTCCAATCATTACCCTGTTTTATTTAGCTTCCTCAGTATCATTTTGACATATAGGTTGAACAAGACAAGAGAGAGAATGCAATCTTGTCACACTTTTTTCTCTATCTTAAATCGATCGATCAATCATACATACATACATACATACATATATGTAGTCCTTGACTTATGACCACAATTGAGCCCAAAATTTATGTTGCTACTGTGAGATATTTGTTAAGTGAATTTTGCCCTATTTTACGACCTCTTTTGCCACAGTTGTAAAGTTAGTCACATAGTTATTATTATTATTAATGTAATTTTTACATTAACTGGTGGAGGAAAGAAATCTTTTGTGAAGTGTGATGTGGATGAGGCTTTGTTGAATACACCCCAACAGCTGAAATTCCAGTTTGGAAACTCTACATCAAAGGCTCTAAGAAAAATAACATTCTACCATAAGAATATTTTATGCAAATTCAGTATATTGGCTTTTTAATTATTCTGCTTCTGGCAGTCTAGAGGGAGGAACCATGTAATATGCTAAGCATCAGTGCTTTCTTCTTTAGTTCTGTGGTTCTCACACTTTCAGGTATTTTGAACCCTTAAAATAAAATAAATAAAATAAATGTATATGATCCCCTAGGAATTAATGGCTTCATTAATGTTAGGGTTGGACAAGAAGTAAATACATTACTAATAATAATTTAATTTTAATCTATATACCACATGGCCTCTTGTATTATATGACTTCTCAAACTTTATGAAATTACTGCCCACTGTGATCATTTGGGTAACAGAGAACAAAGCCCAGAGACAGTTTTAATAGTGTCCCATGAAATTTGCATTAGCCTGATCAGGTTTTTAAAAGTACTGTGATCCCCTTCTAAGTTGCTTATGATTATTCAAGGTATCGTGACTCAATCTGAAACCCCTTCAATCTACCCCACCAATCTCTCTTGCCTCACCCAGCTATAAAAAAATTCATCAGATATTGTCTTCATTTCTGTGCATTTTTATTTCTTTGCAGTCTTTACTTTTAAAAAATGATAAAGAGAACAGTTTTCATACTGATGTTATTCTTTTACTGAAAATAGGGACAGCTATAGAAATGAGATTTTGCAGTTGCTGAGAAATCGGTGCTGCGATTTTTTTAAAAATAATCTGTCTGCAGCAAAGGCCTGTGGATGTCCAAATCCTACATTTCAGATTTAACAGATTAACACAGTTAGAAGGGACCTTTTAGATCATCTAGTTCAACTCCCCCGCACAAGCTTTCACATGCTTCTAGAAAAAATTGGGGTAGATTTGTGTGCATTAAATGTATTGGGACTGTAATTCTTACTATATCTAGCCATACTGGCATGGTCATGCTATAGTCTCCATATATTTGTGGACACAAGTTTGGAGAAAACTGGAAAGGAGCATCAGTTAATTTGTGATAGAGCTCCAGGCTGTATCTTTTATGTCAGTGTTTTTTCAACCTTGGCCACTTGAAGAGGTGTGAATTTCAACTCCCAGAATTCCCCAGCCAGCAAAACAAAGTCCACACCTCTTCAATTGGTCAAGGTTGAAAACACTGTTTTATGTCATTGGTTCTGCTAGTCTTCTCTCAGGACATTAATGGAAGAGCTATCTTTTCATGCAATATCTCACACTCTGTAGGAGCAAAGAAGTGGGAAAAAATTACAAGGTGACAGAAGAAGCAAGGAAGGATGTCACCGACTTGCAGAGTCTGGTATGTTATCATGGCCTAGCTTGATTTTTATTTTTACATTCAAGACTGTGCTTAAGCTGCTGCTGTCTCCTTCAGTTGATCAGTTGCAAACATCCTGGTGGCTATAGGTAAGTATCTCATGGAGTATATAAAATAGCATTAGAGTAGACAAAATGGCACTGTCCGCTCAAATGCATTTATGTAGGATTTTCCTCTGGGGAATGTCAGGAAATTACAAGCAGGTGAAAAATAGGCTATAATGTTATTTACTCACATCAGCCGAAAATCTTAAGTATTCAATGGTCCATCAGAGCTTCATCCAAACAGGAAACACTGTAGCAGGGTTTCAAAACACCAAGATTTTCAGGTACATAAGAAACCCATAAAACGCCTCAGACAGATTCAGTCTTTTATGGGAAAAGTCTTTCTCAAGGAGGATAGGTATCCCAGCAGCTCAAGATGAAGAGACCTTGGAGGGAAGCTACCAGGGATTGTAGGAAGGGGGTGTGTGCATATGAAGCAATTGGAGGGGAGGCATTGCCCATAACAAAATGAGATCATGAATGAGGCTACAGTATGCTACTTGAGCCAACAACATGGAAAATACCACATTTGATGTACAGCAAGAAAAGACTGGCAAAGGCTGCTCACAGAGGAGCCTAGGGATAAATTGAGAGATATTATCTTCTTGATAAACAGTGAGGTACCTGATGCCACAGCAAGCAGGAGATGTGGATGAGGCCTTTGTATTGGTCTGGGAAATGCCAGAAGGTTAAGTTCAAGGAAGCTTGCTTTTTTCTTCCTGGGCTCCTTGCCCATGGGAAGAGGTGGATCATCTCTCTCTCTCTCTCTTTTCCTCTCTCTTTCTCTCTCTCTCATTATAGGAACACCAATTTGATGGCCGGGCTCAAGACCCCAGTAAGTTTAATATCTCCAGTTGGTTTTAATTCATCTTGACCTCCAGAGCATAGCCTAATCAGTCAATAGAAAAGATATAAATTCTCAATTTCCCATAAACGAAGTATATAATTGCAAAAAAAAAAAAAAGGAAATACCAGAGTTCATCTTTTGGCTAAAGCTGGATTTATTTGAAAGAGGATGAGAGCTGCAGTTGCTGTCTCACATCACTTATGCTCCTGCAGAGACTGCAGGGCTTTGGCAGTTGAAAACCTTTGTTACTGTATATTGTTGGTTTCCTTACACATAATAAGGAATGATTGCCAGAGACCATACTGGATTTATGCCATTGTTATGCTCTGCAGAGGACTTGGTAATACACTACCCTAATGCCTTGCTGGGAAGTCTGACTTTAGATGAAGGACGCCCTGTCTGTGCCCTTTCCCATCATTGTTAACACTGACTTGTGCTTTTAAAAAAATTCTAGAGAAAAATTATATGAGAATAGTCATTGTATTACATGGGAATAGATGATTACACAAATGTGCACATTGGTTCTCATTCAGCTCTTTAGTCACTTTTGTCTCTTTGTGGCCTGATGGACATTCTTTTGCCTGAGCTGTCTATCAGAAACTCTTATATTTTTGTAAGCTTGTGTCATCAGTGACAGTTTTTTCCTGCTCGTCTGACCCCTTTTTTAGCTGCAGTCCACCACAAGTCATTCAGATATAGTCGTGACAAAAAAATCCCCCCACTCCATCACCTCCATGTGCTAGGTAGTTTTCTTGACAGACTCACATTAGTGATTTGCCTGGTTTTTTTTTTAATTCCAGCCTCACTTGCAGCCCTTGTATTCTCTGCTGGTTTTGCATTCAAGTATTAAGCAGCCCAACCTTATGTGGCTTTGAAACACAGAAGTTATGCCAGATGATGTTACCCTCTGTAGAGCATGTAAAAAGGATGAATAAATTACATGCCTATTGGTGGCTCTCTAGGAGTTTTCTGGGTCTGTGAAGTGTTACAAAGTCGAACCATTTCATATTTAGAAGTGAAATTGATAGCAACTCTGGATAAATTGCTATTTTCTCCAATTCTGTAGAGGAACAGCTTTTAGGTTTTTCATGGTTTTATATAACATTATGAAATTCAGGTTACCTCTGTCTTAGAGCTGTGTTTGAAGATGGGCAGCTCTACAAAAATAAATAGAGCAAAAGATAGGAAGGTAACACTAAAACAGGCAAAAAAAAAAACCTAACACTATCTCTTGTTTTTTGAAGTCTCTGGCCAGTATTACTTGTTTGACAGCAGCACTGGAGCACGGCGTTGGGTGTGAGCATGGAGGAAAATGAAGAGCCAACTTTCTGGACACCAGCAACTCTCTGTCTAGTATCTGATGTATCTGCTGATATGGTGGCACAAGAGTAGCTTTCCATTAGTTACCTGCATTTTAATAATCAGAGGTTGCCACTTTCCTTTCTTTTTTTGCTATTCTGGTTTCTATGGTTATTTGATCGGTGAAAAGTTATTTCCACTAATTATGGTACTCCCATATCTGGAAATTCTCCATATTATGGGAGATTGTAACAATGGTCATATGGTACTAGATGAAACATCAACCATTTGTCCCCCCTTCTTACAAAGCCATGTGTCTTTGAGAAAGTGCTGTATTAAAGGCTTTTGTTAGTGTTGCTTGAATGCAGTGGAATTGTATGTGGATTATAGGATCTGGTTCAGAAACAAAGGGCAGCAATTGAGTTTAATATTAAATTATATCTCTGGTTAGGCATATTCATTTCTGTTGTAGCTCGGTGGTTCTGAAGTTTTCTGGCATTTCACAATATAGCATCATGTACATATTTCTTTCCATCAATTTCATTTCTCTTGCTGACTGTTGGGGATGCTTGAATAACTGAGAAATAATAAAAGAATTATGCATAGCAACAATTGGTTGGGTGAGTGTTCCAAAGTCAAGCACAGCAACATGGGATACAGTAACTGTAATTTTCTAATAATTTATTCAGTGCAAGTTAGGTTGTATTCATGGTGGGGCATATTTTTTCCAGGTGCTCCCTAGACAAAGCTGTACTAGTGCTATTATAATATAATAAAGTGAATAAAAAAAGAAAAACTTTCCCTGACAGACGAAGTTATCAGAAGCCAGACATCTTTAGGACATGAAATAACGACTTTCAGACTAGCTGTGGTCCAAATGCCCACCAGTTGATTCCCTTTCTGCTTCAAGGGGGATGTGTTGTATTTGGAATAGGGAAGAGAGTAGAAAGTCTTCTGAATGCAGCTTTCTGTTCAAAACTTGGGAATTAGTACTGCAGCTTGCCACTAACTTTTAACTAAACCTATTCTCCTTTATATCCTAACAAAATTCTGCATACAATGGCCAATGATGGTATTTACAGCATTGTATTATTTTAAATATTTGGATATCATTTAGATATTATCTACAGTCTATGGTAACATTTTTTTGGGGGTGTGCAGTAGTGACCAGGACAAACTTGTGATGTGAAAGTGCCCTCTGCTGGAGCACCCAATTGAAACAACTTGATTTGTTACTGGAAGTAATATAAGATTATACATTAGGGATATGTAAATTCTCGGTGGTGCACAATAAAGTAATTAATTGCTTAATTAAGCACAAGTAATTAATGACAAGTAAATATGTTTATATTTTGATTGGATAGGATTCTATAATTTCTTTTAATAAACTACCGGTATGTTTAATTGTTAAACATATTGAAATGCATAGTGGAAAAAAGAAATTATTGAAATAGAAAGTAGAAAAAACAAAAAAGACTGCTGTATTTGAAATAAAAGAAAGCATGGTGAAATTAAGCCAATTGGATATATTTCTTATCAACCTGAGCAGCTGCTAGCTGAAGCTGAAGCAAGTGAGAGAAGCTGAACAAACAACAAATGAACTCAATAATAACAAATGAATAAGAGCTGAAATAGAGAGTGCCTATTAGGAGTATGGGTATCCAGTAAAAGTCAAAATGATATTGAACTACATAGTAAGGACAAGATTGAATTACCAATATTTTACTATGTGTATTGGATGACACAATTGTAACTTAATCCTTTCTGGAGAAAGGATATAAAGGAATAGGCACCAAAGGCACCATAACTACTTCTGAAAAATTAATAATTATCCTTCTCAATTTAAAGGAACAATCTCAACAAATTATAGGTTATTATTGAAATTGGAATTAGGTAACCTCTATTATTACTCTTCTTGACAGTTAGCTTATATACTACTTGCAGACTCAAGGGTTCTTATCTTAAAATACCAACTACTAAGAAGCAGATTGAAAAAGCATTTTACATTTAACTTCTACACTTCTACTTTTCAATTTGCTTCCACATTAGTTGACAACTATTACATTGGGTGCTGAATGCTGGATTCTATATAGGTATCCAGTTAAATCTGTTAAGTTCTATGTATTTAAGATTTACAGAAAGGAATATTCTGTGAAATTTTATTACAGTCAGATGTTTCATATATGCAATTGTGTGTAGGGTGGAAGGCTAATATAAAGCTTTCACATTCAATTGACTTTTAGATGAGTGAAAAGCACTTTCTGGATACATGCAGGAAATGTGTCTGCAATATGAATTTCAGTAAAAAGATCTACAATTTAAAATATTTTACTTGGATTGGTACTTTGTATGTGAACTTACTTTCTAATACTGGTGAAACTGCCATGTTCAGAAACACTCTTGTCATTGCCTTGGTCAAAAACAAGGTTCCTTTAATCTCATTTGATGGGCAAATATTGTATTTCTCCCTGCTTTCTCGTTTAGAAAACTAGCAGAAAGCCCACACCAATTAGATTACATTGTGATACCTTGCATTATTGTCATAGGCGAGTTCATTTTCCTGCTGTGACCTACTTTTTAAAAAATCTGGTTAGTTGTAATGAACAATATTAAACATATTGTCCTTAATAATTAAAATAGTTCCAAATGTCCATAGCCTCTTCCTTTAATACTGGCCAAGAAAACTTAATGATTTTAGTACTTGGGGTTTTTCCAACAAAAAAACCCCAATCAGGAGTAAAATATATCTACAGCTATGAGCAACTTATCATTCACCTGCATCTCTCATTGCTGCAGTTTTGAACTGAATTTTGATTAAATTTGATTAAAAAAAATAAAAATAAAGAGGACATAAAAATGTTGTTTTGTAAATATATAAATTAACTGGTGGGTTGGGGTGTGTGCAATGGATTCCATTTGACTTGAATAATTTACCATACTAGGACAACCACAAGTTGGCAAGAGAAATTTAGAAAATACTTTGTGCAAAGACCAGACCAAATTCTGTTAGTAAGTCTGGTAGTGCTAGCACATATATTCAGTTATTATTTACTGTAAACGTTTTAAAGCTATGAACTTTTTTTTTTAAGTGAAATTTAAGACAATCTTAGAGGGCATGTTTTGACAGCCGGGATAAGACTGGAGTTTATAAAACATTTAGAATATCTCCTAAGAGATAAGATAGTATGAAAAATATGTCATGCCAGAGTTCAGAAGCTAAGCGGCGGAAAGTTAGCTTAAGAATCACTTTCCTAGGAAGGCTCAGAGGTCAACTGTTAAAAGAGCAGCCTCAAGAGGGACATACGGAATACCAGCGAAAGGCTTTTGTGATTGGTTGGTGGGTCACTCCTCCTTAGCCAATAGGAAATAGCCCCCGCAAAAGATTGGTTTCGTCACATTTGCGCAGCGTGCGTTGGAAAACCGGAGACGGGGAAGAAGGCGCAGAGAATTTGGAGAAGTGACGGATACGTCATCCAATAAAAATGAGAACCAATAGAAAGCTTGGAATGCATCAACATGCGATTGGTTTAGCTCCCTTGGAGGTGGACCTTGGGCACCACGGTTGCTATGACGGCAGAATGCCCACCTTCCCGGCGCCGCCATCTTGTTGTTGATTCGAACTGTAAGGGAGCAGGTGAGGGAAGTCTTGAAGCCGGCCTGGGGGGGACACCCAGCAGCAGCGCCCCCCGGCCAGGCAGGGGGAAATTTTACGTTGGTGAGTTTCGGGCCCTTGTTCTTCGTAGGAAGCGATCCGGACCCAAAAGGGAGGGCGCCTCTTCCGAATAGGATGTGGGAGGGGATCGGGGAGAGTGAATGAGTGCTGGTAGGGAAAAGGTAAGGCCGGTTCGCGGGGTGGTGGATCCCGACGGGTAGGACAGCAGAGCCGCCTGGCTGAGGGCTGCTGCCGAAGCCCGTGAGGGGAGGAATAGGTATCCTCACGACGACGATTCTCCTGGAGCTGCTCAAGAGAAGTCTATGGCACAGGTGTCTGTTGAGCAGCTTCCCCCGTTTGGCGCCCTCTAGACGAGTTTACGGAGCTGCTTCACCTGAGATCCCATCATCCCCGACCGCCGCTCTGCGGGTCGGGTGGTGGAATATAATCCAAATAGGGAGGGCGACGGGGAGGGGAGCAGTGGTAGAAGCTGAAGAAGTTGTGGTTTTGGGCTCAGCCGGTTTCTGGGCGCTCTTTGAGGAAGCCTGGCTGTGAGATTCACCGGGTCGTTTGGGAGTGAGGGCTTGCAAGGAATGATGGGGCAGATGTTGGTGACATCTGCAGGAAGATAGGTGGTTGTGCGTGTGTATGGGGGAGAGTGTGCTGAGGCTAGAGAAACTTTTGCTCAAAGGGTACTTGGGATGCCATAAACTTTGTCCCAGCCACCAGGAGGACTAGCAAGAACAGTATTCAGTTTTAAAGTGGCCTAAATTTATTGAGAAATTTGTGTTGGGTTTTGGCAGGAGCCTCTTGGCTTGGAACTTCCATTCTAACAAAAAATACATCTTGGCCCCAATCCAAAACATTGTGGGAAATAGCAAAAAGGTTTTCCTCCATGGGCAGTGAATATTTTATAGTTGTGAAATAAAATAATAGAATATATATATGTGTGTGTGTGTGTATGTGTATGTATGTTTTCTTAAGTTTTCGCGGGTACTTACATGTATGGCATTCAGCTTTGTTCGGGTATCATAAGCCTGATGATGGCAGATGAGATTCTGCCGAAACGTTGCTACAACTTTAAAAGCACAACTACAATGACGTGGGAAAATACCCGAACAAAGCTGAATGCCATACATACATACATACATACATACATACATACATACATATATGAATTTGGCTGACATTTGTTTATATAACACCTCTCTATGGGCAACTAGTACTGAACTGTGATGAATTGGACAAAGAGTAACTTTTTGGATTGCCTCTAAGTATTGCAAACTGTTTTTCCCCATTGATATGTTAATCATTTTAACATTATACATATGCTTATCCTCTACCGACTTGAAACAGTTTCAGATATTTAGAAAGTGTTGATAATTCTTCATTAAAATGGTTTTGTATAATGTTAATTTTATTTATCAAATTCATTTGCTCTCCATTTCACAGTTCAGGGCAACTTTGAGCGGCTTACAACAAGATAAAACAATTAAACATTCAACAGTTATAAATATAAAAACTGATTAAAATCGCACAAAAATAAAACAAAGGAAAAACAAGAGTTTGGAGGGGAGAAGTTGTCTATTAGTGCATAAGCAACTCCAGCGAACAGCTTCTCCTTCAGTCTCCATGTCAACTGGCATGGCCAGGTTTTTGTTTTTTTTGATGGCTGAAAGAGAGGGGGTGGATCTTATCTCCTGGCGGCAAGATATTCCAAACAGCAAGAACTGTGGCAGAAAAGGATTTTCTGCTGTATCCCACCAGCTGAAATTCCTTAGTTAATGGGATCTGCAATAGGCCTCCTTCTGCCAATACGAGTGGGGCAGGCCAATTCCATTGGGGAAAGACAATTCTGCAGATACCCTAGACCCATGGCATGAAAGTCTTTAAAGGTAGTAACAAGCATCTTGAATTGACCAAGAAGCAGATTGGCAGCCATTGCACTTGCATAACAGTGATATTATATGTGCTACCCTAGGGACCTCCAAAACTGTACTTGCTGGACCAGTTGAGGCTTCCAAATGCTCTTTAAGAGTAGCCCCATGTATAACATGTTGCAATAATCTAAGCAGGAGATTACCAGGACATGAATGACTGAGCACAGCGCCTCATGATCCAGCAAAGGGTACAATTGGCGCACCACATGAAGTTGTGCAAAGGGTTTCCTAGCCATGACTGCTACCTGTTCTTAGAGCAGGAGTCACAAGTGTAGGAAAACTTAGCATCTTTATTATGAAGTGCATGTGAGTGTGCCTAAAATCAGCTAATTAATTGCCTGGAACTATTTTTTTTTAATAAACAGCATCTGTTAAAATTGTGTGTGTGTGTGCGTGTATGTATGTATGTAAAGTTTTCGCGGGTTTTATATGTATGGTATTCAGCTTGGTTGGGGTATTTTCCCACGTCATTATAGTTTGCTTTTAAAGTTGTAGCAACGTTTCGGCAGAATCTCATCTGCCATCATCAGGCTTCTGTATTGTGTTCGTCTGTGAGTCAGACTTTCACAGCCGTTTCTGTTTTAAATTTGGGGCTAGCCTACTGCTGTGCCAGAATGGTTTTTTCTTCATCCTGATTGGTTGGGAGTCTTGGTCTGTGTTTATTGGTCTTGGAGTTTGCTGTGT